GATTTTCACCTTCTTTATTATTATTTATTTTTTTTGAATCCTGAGAAATCTGTAATCCTGCTGAATTCAAAGTGCAACACAAGTGAAGGGCCAAGGGTTTTTCATGAGGCTCTGGGAGCTGTGGTGATAAAAATAATTTAGCTTTAATTTATAGATATTTTTAAAAATTAAATCCCCTTGCTCCTGATTTCTAATAAAATAAGATTTATTTTTAATGTGACCAGGGTGTCTTGCTCAGCACTGGGGACATTGCTGTGTTTTATGGCCCCAGTGTTTATGGCTTTAAGCTTCTTCAAGTGATATTTTTTCAAATATTTGGGGGGTTGCTGGAAGTTGTGGCACAGGATTTGAGGCCAGGCCCATCTGTAGTGCCTGAGAAAGGTGGTGGGGTTCCAGGAAAGGTGCTTGGCTCTATCTCAGGGAGGCTTGGGACAAACTGGGGACATTAATGGGGACACCAAACAAAGTCCCTGGCTGCTGGAGCAGAAATTTGAATGGGAAGCACAGAAGGTTTTAATCACAGACTCCTAGAATGGTTTGGGTTGGGAGGGACATTAAAGTTCCTCTAATCCCATCACTTGCCATGGGCAGTGAGACCTCCAGGCTGCTCCAAGCCCTGTCCAGCCTGGCCTTGGGCACTGCCAGGGATCCAGGGGCAGCCACAGCTTCCCTGGACACCCTGTCCAGGGCCTCACCACTCTCACAGCCAGGAATTACTTCCCAATATCCCTTCTAGACCTACTCCAGAAATTTGAATGGGAAGCACAGAAGGTTTTAATCACAGACTCCTAGAATGATTTGGGTTGGGAGGGACATTGAAGTTCCTCTAATCCCATCACTTGCCATGGGCAGTGAGACCTCCAGGCTGCTCCAAGCCCTGTCCAGCCTGGCCTTGGGCACTGCCAGGGATCCAGGGGCAGCCACAGCTTCCCTGGACACCCTGTGCCAGGGCCTCACCACTCTCACAGCCAGGAATTACTTCCCAATATCCCTTCTAGACCTACTCCCTTCTGTCAGTTTAAAGCCATTCCCCCTTTTCCTACACTCCATGTCCTTGTCCGGAGTCCCTCTCCTGTTCTCACAGGCCTCACATGGATTGTTTTCACTGCCTGAGGTTGTCCCATTGGGTTCATCATGCAAACATCACTGGGAACATGCCAATCCCACCAGGATGGCTCAGGAGAGAGGGATGTGACATCCATCCATCCATCCCTCCCTGTATCCATCCATGAAACCATCCATCCATCCATCCATCCATCCCTCCCTCCCTCCCTCCCTGTATCCATCCATGAAACCATCCATCCCTCCATCCATCCATCCATCCATCCATCCATCCCTCCCTCCATCCATCTCCACCTCCAGATCCCCCCTCAGCACCCCCAGAATGGCTCTGCCCATCCCCCATGGCACCCACTGACCCCATCACAGCTCCCAGCCCCCCAGCCACCCCAGGGGAAGGCTCTGAAGGAGGCTCCCACCACCTCCCCTCATCCAGCACCAGGTCAAACCCCCCTGCCTCCAGCTCCTCCCCTCACAATCCCCTCCCATTCCCCAAAAATGCCCCAAACAGGTGAGTGACAGGCTGGAATAACCCCTCAGTTCCTTGCTGAATCCCCCAGATCCCTCTTCTCCCTGACCAACGAGCTGCTCCGAGCCCAGGATCCTTGCCTGGGCTGGTTTTGGAGCTGTAAGTGGAGATCCCAGGGATTTAGGTGGCATTTGTTGAGTGAGGCCAGCCTGTCCCATGGGAGCAGGGCCTGGAGGGGAGAGCATGAAGGGAGAGATGAGAAACCCAATACCCCTCTTGGCTCTGAGGTGGCTTAATTTAGAGCACAGGGGCTCTGCCAGAGTGTTTTTCCATTTAAAGCTGAGCCTCTTGCCTTTTGTCCTGCACTGTGCCTTGCAGGGCAGTGGCAGCTGATGGCTGGGGCTGCTGGGGGAGTCAGCAGAGCAGTTTCCAACTCAGCTCCCCTTTGCCACCAGCTTCTTCCCCATTTTTCCCACATCAAGGACTGAAATCCATCTCCTCCTGCCATCCTTGTCCTGCTTTGGAGCCTCAGGGAGGGCAGGAGCCACCCACAGCTCCACAGCTCTAAATTCCACCCAGGAAGGGTTTTGACCCCCCAGCTGATCCTGTGCCCCTCGTCCAAGCAGATCCCAGGGCAGGGAGAGCTCTCCTGTGTCAATACTGTTTATGTTTAACCACCCTAATGCAACTTAATTCATGTTACAGCCACTTTGGAAAGCTCTTTGCAGGTAAACTCCTGGCAACAGGCCCAAAGGAAAGGAGGACAATTCATCAAAGATCATTTATTCCCAGCAGTTCAGCTGTACTTTAAAATGGGATGCATCCATCAGGCACTTGATGGCTGCTCCATGGAAGAATTCTGCCCAGCTCCAGGGTAGGAGACAAATTTTGGCTCAGCCCAAGTGTTTGGAGAATTGATATTTGGAGTTAAGAACTGCCCAAATCCTATCAAAGAGTGCCCATAACTAAATACTGGCAGTAAAATTAACTGTACCCACCAGCCTGTGCCAGAGATGTCACCTTTAGCCTGTCACCACCATCAGCTGCAGTGAGAGGCTGAAAAAACTCAGAGCTTATCAAAAAGCTGCCTGGGAAATGACTTCTCACTGGAGGAGGGTTGTCCCAGGGAGGAAATGCTGGGGACTCACAGTGCTTTTATCTGAGAGAGGCAAAACCATGGCTGGCTGCAAACTGGAACCAGAGAAATTCAAATTAGAATTGAAACACAGGATTTTAACAGGCTGGTGTTTATCCATGAGGGGGAAAAAAAACCAAAAAAACCCCTACTGAAAGTTCTAAGGGAAGCAGGGGGTTGTGGTCATTTCATATCAGCTGTATCCTGAAAGAAATGCACAAGTGTGCTGGAGAGATCCTGGGGCTCAGGATCTCCAGTGTGGGGATTTTTCAGGCAGAGAGAAAAATATTGTCATTGATTTTGTTCTCTGAGTGATGGGCAGGGGGCTGCTGCTCCCAAGGTCTGCCAGGGTTTCTGATATTTAGCAAAATGCTGCAAGAAAATTGGTCTCATCCTTTGAAAAGTGGGAACCAGCAAGAGCCAGCACGGGGAGAATTCAAGGCAGGTCACTCTGGGGAAGTGTATTTCAAAATACTGAGAAGCCCTGGACATTCTGTGATAGGAGACAGATTGCACATTTCCATGAGCAGCAGCTGCCTACAGGTACAGGCTGCCTAAATAAACTGCTTTATAGTGCTTGGAGTCTTTCTTTGATAAGCATCTGGTGGTGCAAATAAAAAAAGGAGAAAATGTTTCTGTGCAGCACCAAACAAGCACAAGGTTAAAGAAATGAGTGTTGCAGCACTTGAGAAGAGGTTTGTAGGAGAGCCATGTGTGTTTGAGACATCCCAGTTTCCTCCTTGTGCTTCAGGGCTGACTCAGAGCCCTTTTCCTGGAGAGAGGTTTGATCTTCACAGCTTGCCTGGGACAGGGCACAAGGAAGGGCAGCAGATGCCTCTGCTCTGCTCCTGGGAAAATATTATTGATTCACACTCCTGTGTAAGTGAAATCAGAACCTGCAGCTCCAAGTTACAGCCTGAATTTAGCAGTCACTGCACAGCACAGCTCCCACAGCCCTGCTCCTGCTCAGGCAGCTTGTCCAAGGATCTTCAGGATCTGCTCACTCCTGCAGGTCCTTAAAATCCCTACCAGAGGATCCCTCTCCTCTACAGGGGCATCAGGATGGACTTGAAACCAAAGCTGTGGCTCCTCTCAACCCAGGATTTATTCCTCAAGTTGTCCAGAGATGACTGAGGGTTACAAGGTGCTTTTTCCTCTGATGCTACTGGCAGGAAAAATATTGTAATGGATGGTGCTGCTTTTTGTGAGAGAGGCCCCTGAGAGCTGGGCTGAGCTCTAGGGCAGTGGAGCAGCCTCATGAGCACAGGGAGGGTTAATTCCCTGCTAACTCCCAGGTGCTGAGCTTATCCCCTGCTCCCTGACTTCCTCCATCAGGGACTCCAGGAACTGTTTGAAAAGAGACATTTATTGAAGAGAGACATTTCTGAACCTAAGCAGGAAAAAAAGACAGGGACAACACATCTGGAGTGACCCCTGCTCTGCTTTTTTCCACTCTGCACAGGGGAGTCAGGATGAAATCCCCATGCTGGGGAAGGGAGCAGTGGTTTTCATGCCCAAAAATCCACTTTGCACTGGTGGTGCTGGCTGGGGTTAAAGCCTGACAAACTTCTGGCTCATAAAAAGAGGTTGACAAAGCAAAGGAGAAAAAAAAAAAAAAAGCTTTCAAGTGAGAAACAAAGCAGCACTGTACAAAAATGCCTGGCTCTCCATTTGCCTGGAATCCCCAAGGCTGCTCTGCACTGGCAGGCTGCATGGCAATGCCTGATTAGCTTGCACTCTGTGTCCTCACTGTGCTGCAGGAGAGAAGGACAGGGCTGGCAGGGTTTGCAGCAGCTCCAAAAAGTCCCAGCACTGCTGCAGTGAAGACCTGCCTGCATTTTGTAGCATTTCTTCCCAGGGAGAACAAGATCTGCCTGATGGATGACTGCAGAGACCCAGAAACAGGGAATTCATAACCTGGATGGCAAGTTTTTTATGGAATGAGCTGAATTTAAGGTAGGTTGATTCATTGCAGGGGTAATCTGCACAGCTTTTCAGTGGAAACTCACTGGAGTTTCAGAAAACTGCTGCCAGTATGTTCAAGCAAAGAGGTTGCAATGATGAGAGGAGCCCACCCAAAACTGATTTGCAGATAGTCCCAGGTCAGGCTAATCCTGTGCCTCAGCACTGAAGTGCTACAGAAAGCCTGAGACAGGCAGGTAGCAGTGTGGGATAAAAACAGAGCTTGTTTTGTTCTAAGGAAGGGGGCTGGCCTAACTTTTGTACAGCAAATTCCTTCCTGAGCTGATAAAGGCAGCAGCAGATTGAATATCGAGCCCTCCCAGGGAACACTGTGCTGAAACCTGGAAGGTTTTGTCCAAAATCCCCCTGCAGAATTGCAGCTTCCCAAACTACACCCACCAGCCCTGCTTGCCAAGCCTCAGAGACAGAAAGTGCTGACACATAAAACCTTCACATTTTGTATTTCATCTCTGCTTCTCATCCTCTCCTGCAAATGCTAAAGGAATGACACGATCTGAGGCTGCAAAATGCCACTGGTGCCTGGGCTCTCTCCCTGCTCTGCAGCCCAAAGGACTGGGAATATCTGGATTAACTCTCCTCTGGTGTATGGTGCTGAACAGTCTGCAAAACTAGCCCTCACTTTGTCCATTGTCACTTGGATACAGTTTCAAATCATCCTCTTTGGCTCTCACAGTCTCCATCAGAGCAGCCTTCAGACTTTTGTTCGCATCCATCTGGAAGGAAACAAAAGGAAAAACCTCCCTGTGAGCCAGGGAGCTTCAAAGAAATTGAGAACAGTCACCTCTGTTCTGGGGAAGAAACACTGAAACCCAGAGGCCTGAGAAAGAGCAGAGCACTTGTTCCCCTCTCCCTGAGGCAGGACAGGGTAATCCCAGCTTGGAGAAAGGGAGAACATACCTCCTGCTCAGCTACTCCACCTGAGATTCCAGGAGCAGCTCGGACAGGGACGCACAGAGCTCCTCTCCGTCACTCACATGGCTGGGCTGGGCTGTGGATTCAATCACAGAGTGGAGTTTTAGTGAAACAGCAAATCAGTTTTGGCATGCTGAGTCAATGTCAAAAAATACTGAATTTATTCTCTCAAATAATGTACTTAATTTCTTAAATAAATATTTAATCTCCTAAATTCTATGTTACGTCTATAACGTATCATAAATACATGACAGAATTATTTTATTTTTCTTCCAGCAAAATGAAAACATGATGAATTTGCATTTCAGGGCTACATACGTGCCTACATATATAGGGAGGAAAACAATAAATCCAAAACATTGAAGTGACCAAAACAAGAGGTTACAAACAGCTGAAGAGGATTAATTTGATGTTAATCTTGTGTTTCAGATTATGACAGCTGTGGCTTCCTGAATGTCTGGGACAAAGTTTGCACGTGGCACCCATTGAAACAACTTTTGTAAAGCACTTTGATCCTCAGCATAAACCAAATGTAGGTTAAATGTACTTCAAGGTGTACTTCAAACCAAGGTTCTCACTCAGGAATGCTTTCCTAAATACAGGTCTACCCAAAACATGCAGCTCTGGTCATCCCAAAAAAATTCAGAACCTTTTCTCAGGGTTATAGAGAAACTTATAATTCAAATTTACAGCTGGAGAAGCAAAACCTGTGACCAGTGAATGCCTGCAGTGGAAGGAGGAGCAGAGAAGTGTTCAGGGAGCTCAGAAAGGAGTGCAGGAAGGGAGCACAGCTATTGCAGAGGATGCTGAACTCATCCCAGCCCTGAGGGACTGCAGGGTGATCTCTGCCTTCTATCAGGCTGAATCATTTTAGCAAATGTAAATAAATGGCTTTCTCTTAAATAATCAATAGCCAGCACTACCTACTTGGAGCCAGATAACATGAGGGAAGGATTTGTGTGGTTCAGCCCCAAATAAATTCTAAAAATCAAGAAAGCAGCTAAATGAAGAGAACAACAGGCTGGAGCTGGCTGCAGTCCTTTTAACTGGGAATAGAGCACCAGGACAGGGAACAGCCAGGCTGGAATCTGTGCTGTGGTCCTACTGAACACTGCAACTGCTGGTTTGTGCTTGTGTTGTCATGTTGGCACATTTCTGTATCCCTTTTTCCAATTCATATCCCTCATAGTATCAAATATCTTCAAATTTGGAATTAAAACACTAAATCCTCCTCATGTGGAATTATCTGAAGGAACCTGGTTAGAGAGTCCTGAACTCTGACAAAAACAAATGAGAAGAAAAGGCTTCATTGTACAGCTAAAAATGCTTTTGATCTTGAGGCTGTGCTTTACAAAGCTGAGGAAAACCTGCTGTTACTTACCTATCCCTCCTCTGGGATTATTCTTTGCTAATTTGGATAAAACAGGAAAAAAAGCGCAGAAAATGAAAAGCCTGAATAATTTTAAAACACAACTGGGTTGTTTGCAGCTCCTTAGCATCATTATCGACTTCCCTTGAATTGAAGGGACCAGAAACATTAGACTAGCAATTAGATCAGCTCTCTTCAATTTTGTACTTTCAGAAAGAAAGGAAAATATTATGCTAATTAGCAGGTTCTCTAGTCTCTATTTTGTATTCAAGCTTTTCATTTTTTCTTATTTTTCCTCAGCCACTGGCATGAAAGCATTGAGATAACCTCCAGGCTCTCTGAAGAGGTGTACTACAGACTTGTAGACTTGGTTCTTGTAGAAAACTCCAGTTTTGGCACATCACAAAGCTCTCATCAAAGCAGGGGAGCGAAATAGATTGTTACCTACTCATCTCGTGGATTTAGAGAGGATTTCCCCTTATTAGCCTTACTGCCAATCCTTTTCTACTTTTGCTTTTAGTCCTTAAGAAAAGCAGATTAATGAACTAAATATTTAGTGAGAAGGGATCTGTCACTGGTGGAAACAGCTTCCTCCTCTGGCTATGAAATGCCAGCTACCAGAATTTACTTTACTTTACTACAAAACTTTACTACAGCACAACAAAACTTGACGGAAAAGCCTCAGGACCTGGAGAGTTTGTATCTCTTGGAGCTTGCAAAGGGAAGATTTGATAACAGAACACATCAACACTTCACCAGGTTGTGTAAAAGTCTGAGCACTCAGAAACTCACTTAAATTCTGTACAAATCAGCATCAAAATGTTCCCACACTTCTGGGATCTAAATTTTTCTGCACTCAGCTAATACAGGTGATACAACTCTGAGAATCAGTGCTCATAAAAAACCACATGAGAATGAGTCAGTGTGGGCTGGAGCCCCTTCCAAGGACACAGCAATCCTGCTGTAAGGAACAAATCCATGTTTTACAGAGAGGAGCAGCTTTGAAGCACCCACTCAATCCCCATTCAGTATAAAGGTTCCTCTGAAGGGCTCATCCAAGGTCTCTGATGAGCCCTGTGGTCTCTCTGTTCACCTTAACTCAACCTGACACCACCCCAACATTTGGCAAATTGAAATTCCCCTCCCTGCTGTTCATCTTCTGGCATTTGAAGTCTTTTTACTTTATGAAAATACACATAAAAAGGGAAACCACTGGAAAATTTTCCTTAAGAATATGTGCCATTTTATTGGTTTAGACACTTTACAGAATCAGAATCCTCAAGCAATAAAAGGATCTGATCAGGGAAATAAAAATTTAACATCCGCCATGAATTCTTCTTCTTTAACTACGCCAGGGAGGCTTTCATATTTATAGCAGGAGATTATCACGTTCATAGGATAATAAATTACACCAGATCTAATTACTTCATCACCAGCAATAGTTTTTCATAGGCACTGACAGGCCTTAAATTGGGATATGTCCTTTAATTCTGCTCTTAACCTTCAGCTGAATCCCTCAGGCATGAGTGCAAAGGGAGCTCTGGGCCTGGGGGCAGCACAGAGCAGGGGAAAGCTTTTTCTCCTGGAATTATCCCATGGAAACACCCTGCAAAAATCCTGGTCCCCCTCAGAGCTGTGGGAAAACCCTCTTCAGTGAAGAAGGGCCAGGATTTTGCCTCCTGCCTTGCTGCTGGCTCTGAGCAGGTCCCATCACCACGAGCAAGGCCGAGCACTGGGCTGGGTTTGGCAGGTGGAGCCCGAATGTTGTCGCTGTCTATAAAGCCCAGAGGTGAAACAGGGGACGTGGCTGTGGCTGAGGGCTCCCCTTCACCTTTTCTGCTCCTCGGGGCAGTTGTGCTGCTCCCTGGATCCACCTGCAGCTTTTCAAACTGCTGTTCCAGGCTGTCACTCTGCCACTGCTCTTCCTGGAGCTTCTTCTCAGCTCCCAAGACTTTGTCGCTGCTTTTCTTCACCCTGACAGGCAAAAAAAAAATGAATAAAAAAAAAGGAGTTCAGCTCATTGGTGTCACGTCTATGTCAAATTTGTCTTGGTGCTGAATCCTGCTTCCTCCTGCAGAGCTTCCAACAGAAGGGAAAGAACTTTCCATGCATCCAAAGGCAGAAATCCCAGCGAAATTGTACCAGGTGACATCATCTAAATATGCAAAAGAGAATTATCTAATGAGTACAGCTGGAAACAACAGGTTTGTTTGCTCAGATCCTTAAACCTGGTGTGAATTCACCCCTCAGATGAGCAGGAAAGATGCAGATTGCTGAGGAGAGATCTTTCATTACAGCAATAATAAACTGAATTTTTTAGCCACTCTGGGAAAGCTTGGAAGGCAAATAGTTTATAAAAACACAGTCTAATATTTGTCAGTTATCTGAGAGGAAGAAAAGAAACTTCTGCTTTTAATAAACTTGGCTATTAGACATGACCATGGATGGGAGAGGGTGGGAAAGAAACTGCTGGTTACGTCACAAAAAAGCAAATTGCCTCTCTCCATCCTGAATGACACCTCGGAGAATTAACTGCAAAAATCTGATGTGCACCCACAGATGCTGCCAGTGGGGCAGTGACTGACACCAAGTGATTCCAAGGAGTTTAAAGCTAAAAAGAAACACAGATTGACTCACTGGATTGGACTGAATAAGAGCATTTCCCTCCTGACCCCATGGGTGGAAGCTGGTTACTTTCTGAATCAAGAGACTTGATTAGTTTATTTCCCTCCTAGCTGGCATAACTAAAAAAAAAAATAAATTACAACTCTAATAAAATTATACCACTGGTTTAAAAATGTAGCTACAGGCAAGGCTCGACCTGCTGTGGCAGTGAATTCCCAGGCTGCTGATGTGCTCTGAGACATTTTATTCCTCTCAGTGGTTCTGCATTCACTAAACTTTCATTTGACCCTGGTGTTCCCCTGGCATCCACTTTACACAAAAACTGGAGGAAAAATGGCAAGATCTGTGGGATTTTTAATGGAATCATCTGCCAAGAGGAATAATTTAAACTAAAATGCTGTAGAAAAATCTCACTTGTAACAATTCCCATGGCTCTTCTCTTGATTTAAGCATTATCTGTGTTACCTGAACTTTGTCACACCCCAGCAGTGGAGGGAAGAGGAGGAAAACCTGATTTTAAAAAATATATTCACGTTGAAATCTGACTGGTGCTATATTACCCTGAGGTCTTCCAAGAGTTATTGCACACAGTCTCAGAAAATTTATGTTACCTGCTTGATAAATGTGTGATAACTGTGGAGCTGCTGAATCATCAGTTTATGGCACATTTTACAAGCAACTGTGCATTTCATTGACTCTGTTTTTCATTATCCCATATTGGTGGTGGCCACACTTCACTTACCACTCACAGCCCCATCCTCCTCTGACTGCACAGCTCTATTAAAGTCACTGGGCTTACAAACATGAAAAAGATTTTTCCCAGCATGTATTTCCAGAATTAAGCTTTAAAAGCACCTTTTCCACAGCTCTAAAAGAAAAAAAAATCTGGGTTTTTTTTTTCTGACTGTGATTAATCATGCAGGACAAAAGTTATACAAGTGAGAGTGATAACTGTGGTAAATTAAAGCAAGTAAGCAAACAGTGCTTATTGTATTGACAAGCACACAGACAGGAATATACTTCCAATATTGGAATACAGATTTGGGAATCAAATAACACATACTGGGAAAAAAAAACAGTAGCTGAAAGGTGTCCAAAAAAATTACTTTTCTGTCCTTTCTCTTCTAAAATGTGGTTGGCTTTTAACATCATCTTACATTGAACTGAATCAGAGAAAATAAAATTTAAAAAAAAAAATCACTGCTATGCCTCTGTTAAACCAGAATAAATTCATTTAGAGAAGGATACAATGGAACTTAAAAAGAATGTGAAAAGCTTTGTAAGAGAATATTATAACAATAATTACAGTATTTACTACTGATGAATAATATTGCTGCCTCAATAAGGCCATGCATATATAAATACAGCAATTCTGGTTTTATCTAAGTGCAGCAAGCTGGAAGATGGCTCCATTTTTTTTATGCCCTTTGTTCTAAAAGAATAATAAAAAGAATGAATCATCAGCCAGGCAGAGAAATTAAGCAGAAAAAAATTGAAAACCCCCTATTTAAGGCAAGGAAGGCAGCGTGTGATGCACTGTGGTGCATGTCCCACACTCTGCAGCGTTCCCTGATCCCAGCAGCCCACAAAGGATGCTGCTGGCACGAGGCTGTGCTGTTTCTGCAGCACAGCCACCAGCTCCAGGAGCTTTTCCCTCTCCACTTCAGCAGCCTGGCACAGAGCCCTCTGCGTTATGATCTCTCCCAGCAGTGCTTCCCAGCTCAAGCTGTCCGTGCCAGCAGACCTGAGGAAAGCACAAGCACACAGGGTCCGGGTCCCACTTCTGAAATGAAGGGGATGAAACAAAAGCAGCATTTGAGCACTATCTCCAGTACACTGGTCTGGAGGTGAAGGCAGAATGCAAAGCCAGGCTCACTACCTCCCCCCAGCACCCATCTCTAGACTGCAATAAAGAGAACAGAAATATTTGGATATAAAGTCACAGGGGGTGTCATTAGAAAGCTGCCTCCAGGATGCTTTCCCTCCCCATCACCCCTGAAAACAAACTTCCACCTCTGATCAATTCATTATCCCTGACTCTCCTTCCACTGCTACTGCCAGAGTAAAAGGAGATTGTATCTCCCAAGTGCCACACTAAACTATTAAATGCCCTGCTATTGATTTCCTCCCTCTGAAAGGCTTCAGGCAGCACTTGCACAATGGCTGTTCTTGTGTCCAAAATGTGCTGAAAGGAAGGGCAGTTTTCCCATGCATCCCATTATTATGTAGTTCATTACTTCTCTGACCTCTCTGCTTTCAGGAAGACCTTCTTTAGAACAAAAAAAAAAAGCAGGAGAAATCTTGGTGGTTGGGAGTGAAAATGGAAAAGATTGGTGTCAAACAAGAAGTCAATTACAGAATTAAGAGAGAAATCAGATGTTAGAGCTCTTTGACAGCTTCAGGTAGGAGGGACGGTGCAAAAAGCTTTCAGTACAGAAACAAGGCAGGCAAGACAAGGATTTCCAGCAGCTTGCAGAGCATGGCAGAACACCTCCCTTGCTGTAATGAAGTTTACATACCCACCTTCCAGGTGGGTTGAGGAAGAAAGGCTCTGTGGCTGCTGACTCCACGAGCACGTGGCCCATCGCGGACACTGTGCTGGGGGGAGGAAAGCTGTGTTAGGAGCTTCACACAGGGTAGAATTCCCAGAATTCCAGACCTTCCCCAATGTCTGTGTTTTGTAGGGAAGAGCTCCCTCACCTCAAACCTTCACCCAGCACTAGGAGATGCAATCCCAGCTCTGTGCAGTTTGATGGTGTTTGCATGTCACAGATTTTCCTAACAAAGCGACCCCTGCTCTGCAATGCAGGGCACAACTTGGATTTCCCAATGCCCTTTAAGAAATATATTTCACACAGCTTTATGTATTTTACAAAGCTTTATGAAATCTGCTTTGTGAAAACCCTTCAGGAAGATGTGTCAGGTTCACTGTTGTAAGAGGAACCAGCTGATAACACTAGAGTATCACTGCCAGCCTGGACGTGTTTTATGTATAATGATGTATGCCTGGGACATCCCATTTCAGTGTTTGTTTGTTTGGGACATCCCATTTCAGTGTGTGCTTGTTTGGGACATCCCACTTTAGTGTGTGCTTGTTTGGGACATCCCACTTCAGTGTGTGCTTGTCTGGGACATCCCATTTCAGTATGTGTGTGTCTGGGACACCCTATTTAAGGAGGTATTTGCTTGGGACACCACATTTCAGGGGGTGTTTGTTTCCTCAACACAAATTCAGCTGCCAAAGCCAAGTCCTTGCAACTTACCCCACCTTCCCTTACTTCAGCTGTAGCTAACAAGAGGAAAAAGCCTTAATATTGTGGAAGTGACAGATGTGCCTTCTGGGCTAGGAGTGGTTAATCCTAAAATCAAGTTAAGGTTCATACTGACAGCCTTGGCCCAGGCTAAAAATGCAGATTTTTACTCTGCCATCTCCAAAGGGTTCAGCATCTATTTATAGAGTTTTTCATTTTACCTTTTCTGATAGGAAAAGATGATTCACTACAGCCAAACAGAATCGAGAGTTCATCAGCATATTAAAGTTAATGGAAGGAGTGAGCCTTGCTGACCAAGTTATTAACAGCTCTCAGAGTTTTTCAGGATCATTCATTGCCCACCTGACACGTCAGCTCTTTGCACGACAGAGCCCTTGGCCCTGTACACAAGCAATAATTTATGCATTGCACTTAGTGGTTTCCACAAAGCCATTACCCAGCTTTGGTTCCTGCTTACCATCAGCAGACATGTGAGGTAAAAAAAAAGGGGATAAAATATAGATTTGCTCCAGGAGAGCACAACAACTTCTGCAGAGTTGGAAAGGGGAGAATTAAAACAGTCAGAAGGGCGTGGAAACTTTCAAATTAAGGATATTTCAAGTCCAACTTAAAACTACAGAATTCTTAAATTTTATAGTAATGCTCCACTTAGGGATACTCAGCTGATTTTAAAGCCACATTGGGTGTCTAAAGTAATGAGGTAGGAAATTACACAGAAGAGATCAGTTGTAACTTTATCTTGATGAAAGATTTCCCCCATCCCTATCAGACCAGTCTCAAATCCTCACTATCAATTAGACTATGAACTCTTTAGCAACAAACTCAGCAGCAATTTAACAGGAAAGGATATAACTTGCTGTGGTACCATGGTCCCTTTACACAGCCAGAGTGACCCAGAGTCACATCAGTGTAAACACAAATGAGATTTATTGCTGCACTAAGATTAGTGTAATTTACACAGTCCTCAGTGAGGCTTTAAAGAGGGTGTTTGGTAAGAACAAATGATGTGGTGTGTTTTCAACATTTTTGCATGTAAATCCTACTCAAAGAGCATTTATTGATTTAAATAATGCACCAGTGATTTAGTGCTTACCTAAAATGGCACTTTGCCTTCACTCCCCACCCTGCTCACAGAAATCTGCTCATTAGAAGCCCTGTGTCTCATAAGGGAAAAGACTCCCAGGCACTTAAGCTGACCACATAAACATTATCTGAGCTGCAGGAGGAGAAATAGCTGCACTACCACCATGCCAAATCTAGTCATGTCTGCAAGTCTGTACATCCTTCTCAGTTCCAGGACAAAAGTCCAAGAGATAATGGGATTAGAGATTCCCATATATTGCAAACAGGCTGCCACAGCTGTTGGCACAAAGCACTTGTGGTTTGATGAAACTCCCTGGGAAAACCAAGCTCCTGGATTACTCAAACAACTTGAAATATTGACTTTCTGATCTTCTTACCAGGCATCTTCTTACCATTCTGTCCTTCCAGCCTTGCTGCTGCCTGACCCCTCAAGTGATCCTGAGTGCTCAGAGTGCGCTGGATGAGCAGCTCCTGACATGTTCTCTGGATGGGCATATTTTTTCTGTAAATGGTGGAGCATGTTATAAAAGCAATTACATAGCTCAGAGGAAAACAGCTGCACCAATGCCAAAGCAGCAGCTTTTGATTATTGCTACAAGCAAGCCACAAAACTTTTGATTTACAAGACCTCTCAGAAGCTTTGCTTTAATTCCTATCCACTGCAGGATGAAAACAAAGCAGAAGTCAGTAAAAAGGGCAGTTTCATATGAAATCAGAGTGCATTAATAAACCAACTGTGCTGGCAGTGATGCTGCTGCACTGTGGGTTGTGTCCCTAACCCAGGTTTGATCCTGGGTTCAATGCTCCACCCCCATTCTTGAGGTATTTGGGAGATTCACAACCTCACCAGAACCCCAGGAGGGTTTTGGATCTATGAGAATGGCATGCCTAAATACTCTTCACAAATCCTGACTGTGAGGCAGCAGCAGCTGCTGATGTTGGTGTGACACATTTGTTTGCTTCCTCCTTCCAGCAGCCAAGGGTGCTGAGCACTGAGGAGTCCCCAGTGCAGCCCCAAGTCCTGCTGTCAGTCAGTGACAGTCCTGACATGGCCCATGTGTGGATGTGACTGGTATTTCTGTGTTTGCTGCTGCTGAAACAGCCTCAAGTTATGCACAAAGGAGTTACAAGAGAGAATTCCTGCTTTATCATTCCATCAGGAAAGACTGTCAGCAGGACAGAGATCACTGTCTGGAGGCAGCAACCATCTCAGATAACAAGGGACAAAGAAGTGGAAGAGCAGATCTGAAGTGATTACCAAGTGTGGTCCTCTAATTAATTTGTTTGCCTACCTGATGTGTGAGCTGTCCAATCTTCTCCTCCAGAATTTTAACCTTTGCTTCTCTGTCAGCCACCAACACCCTGAGCTCATCTATCTGGGTGCTTTGTTTCTGAATCTCACGCTTCAAGTGGTGCCCCATCATCTGCTGAGACTCCTTGTTCTCATCCTCCTTCTGGCTCAGGCCCTTTAAGATCTCCTGCGTTTGCTTCTGCTGGCTCTGGTAAAATAGAAACAGGGAAGGATCTTTATTTTGTACACAATGATTATTTTAAACCCACCCCCAAGACAAATATCCATTTAGGAATGGCAGGGCAAGTCCCTGCCCTGCCAAGCCATTCCTTGGTGGGAGCACACTGGTGTCACTGGTGCCACTTTGGCAATTTGATTTGTTATGTTGACCTGAGCAATGGTCCGATTCAATTTGCTGCCAGCTCTGCTGCTCAGTGTAGCAGAAAACAGAGCAAGAAAGGCTGGCCTTTGATAAAGAAGTGACTTTTTTCATAAACTGAATGAAACTCAAGATTTCAATGTGCTTTTTGTGGAATTAGAACATGATCAGATCATGTGATAGTGATATTAAAAGCTGAGGGTACTGTGGGGTGACAGATATGAGGCCAGGCTGCTTCACCAGCAGTTTTGGAGGTTTCTTCCACACTGACAAACCTAATACCTGTCAGGCAGTTTGTTCTGTCAGGCCAACAACCTGCAAGTAAAGGGCTTTTGAGATAGAAGGGATAAAAGAGATTAACCATCCTTTCCCAAATAAACTTGCATCTTTCTGTACTAATTTCAGTGGGAACACTCAGAAAAAGTGTTCTTTGGCTCCCCTAATCTGCTGGTCAGCACCCACAGTGCTGGTGGGAGAAGGGTGAATGCCAGCTGAGCTAAAACCTACCCACAGCAACAGGGAAATCTGAGTGGTTTGAAACTAGTGAGGAGTTGGACCAGGAAACACAGAATTAACCCTGCTAGGAAGTGGCATATTCTTGACTATACTTGCTATTTTAATTGGGGAAGGCTGTTTAAAACCATGGCAGGACCATGACAAGAGCAATTTCTTTCTTTCTCAGCATCTTTGAGCCTTTGCTAATACTCTTGGTTTAGAAGAAGCCAAATCCTCTCAGCTCCTGCATGTGAGTGTGCACATGGTTTAGTGCTCATGGTTCAGCTTGTGTGTTGTGGGCTGCATAACAAAATAAATGGAAGTTACAAATGAAAAAATTCCTGCAGGACTGCAGGCATTCTAAGGAAAAAAAATAAGAATCTACCAGTGGAGCTGAAAGCAGAATAAAGAGCACAGACCTTGGGTCAGGACTGAAGCCCTTCCTCTACCTACTTCAATCCTTCTGCAAGATGTTTCTGCCAGTCCCTGCTGCTCGGGGCCACTTGGCTGTATCTGTCACACCTGGTGCTGTCTCACAGCCCTTACATGACCTGATCCAAAATGCAGAAGGATTCAGCTGACAGGGAAACCTCTGGCTGTCACACAGAAATCCATCAGGCTCCTGTACACCTGTACACCCTAAGGCTGTGTGTGCCATGAAAGGACATCATGTTTGATCACCTATAGGAAGAGGGCTGGGACCAACACAGACTGTACCAGTAAGGCATGTATGAGCTCATCATCATGTTTCCCTTTCTCCAGCAAGGTTCCAATCTGTCCCTTCAGCATCTTCACTTCTCCACTCAGCATTTGGTTCCTGGCTTTTGAGGCATCAAGTTTTTTTTTCAATTCTTCATGGTTTTTTTGGAGAGCGTTGTGTTGCTCAGAGAGTTTCTGCAGTGATGTAAAAGGAAATGAAAGTTATAACTTATCACCAAGCCCCAGGTGCTGTGGTGAGCAAAAAGAATCACACATTACCTGGTAGAATCTAAAAAATGGGACTGGAATACTGTATTATTCCTAGGGAAGTAGAAATTATAAATGCTACTGGCTGCCTGCTTGCCAGCATCCAAAAAGGGTCTGTCTGCTCAGGAATCCAGGTGGTCTGGGTAGATTCTCCATTATTCTGGATTCTGATTCTCCATTATTTGGTTCAAATGGAGAAGCCCAGAGCCCCACAGATGCAGGAGGTGTGAGGGTATGTCTGTGTTTGGGATGAAGAATGCACACCTGGCCAAGGGGCGAGAGGGGTGCTAAGGAGTTTGGGTGCAGCTGTAGCAGGGCTTGGCTGTGAAGTGGGGCAGAGTTTCCTCCAGCAGATCAGGTGGGTCTGTGAAATGGTTTTAGGTAGGGTGTAACACACCCTGAAGGCAGGACAAGTTATTACACACTGCTCCACACCCAAACAGGACTCTGTCAGCTCACAGGATTCTACCTCCAAAGATTCCTTCTTTTCTTTTTCCAAGCTGCGAATCTTCAGCAAGTTCTTCTCTTGGACTGACAACTTCCTTGGATCAGGAAATCCCAGCAATCCCTCATCCATCTCAAGCAGTGAAGCTCTGATCTTTTGGTGATTCAGTTTATGCTCCAGCTCGTGAACCTGTGGCACAATAATGACAACTCACCCACAGCTTTAGCAGGGGCACAGTGCAAAGAGGACACAGCCAAAGGCAGCTCAGATTATTTCTTGATATTTTCATGCTTAACTAACACTAGCAGTGTCTGGTCTTTCAGATTGAAATTTAGCTGCTAATAAACATGCAGATTTTAGGGCATCTGTGCAGGATGGAGATCTGGGACACATGGGGGATCTGTGCCTTTGTGGAGCCACTTTTGGAGGCCAGACAGGCACTCCAGAGCATTGGAATTGCTGCTGGAGGAGTGTGAATCCAAGGGAACTCAGCTTGTCAACTGAGGCTGCTTTCATAGTCAGGGGAAGGAACTGGGCTCTTCCACAGCTCAGTTCCTCTGCCCTGCATTGGAGGAACCTGCCTCACTTTTGATCCAGTGACTGGATTTACAAGATCCCCACTGACTACAGAAGGGGCCTGAGGAGTCTGGATCAGAAAGAAATCTGCACATTAGAGCAGAGAACAGTAGGAACAGTGGTCAGATGAACCTCAGGCAGGGATACAACAGGAGGAAATAGAATTTTCTCAAGGGAAAGCAGAGGTTAAACATCTCAGTCAGAATGCAAAAAATCGCAGTTTGATGGCATATAATTGAACAGCAGGAAAATAGGAAAACTATATATCAAATTGACTGAGAGAAGTTTTATTTAGATGCAGACAAAACTGCCTCCCTGCCTCCTGCTGACATTTCAGCTAAACTCTGCCCTTCAGAAGACTCAAGAGTTAAAGATTTTACTGAAGCTCCTGAGGGAACAACTTGAAAACCTGATCTGGCCTCAATTCTTCCCATCTGACTCCAAGCACTGAACAAAGGTGTCTAAGTCAGAGCACAGACACTGACAGGGCTCCTTCTGTTCTCAGTGGAGAGAGGCACCTTCAAAACACCCTGGGACTTGAACTAGGCTGCCACAGCTCTCCAAGGTCACTGAACTCCTTCCTTTGACACAGATGTGAAAGATTCCCAGCTGAAATACCAAAGCTTGCAGGGCTGCAGAGTCATTAACATGGTGTGCACACATCAACCCAGAGATGTTAAGAATTAATGAAGAACTAACAGCACTTTTACCTTAATTTGAGGTGATATCTCTACTTAGAAAGAGAATTCCAGCTGAAATGGCACCGTGCAGGGCTGTAACTCACCTTGGTTTGCAGAAGGAGAATTTGCTGAGCTCGTCCACGCCAGTTGCCAGAATTGGTCAAGAGACTTTGGATATTCACATCTTCCCCAACTTCTTTGGCTAAAATCTGGGAAAAGGGATTAACATCAACAATAAGGCTTAAAAGGATGAGGAGAGGGAAGGAAAAGCAGTTCTCTCTAACAGGGAGCACAAGCAGTTTTCAATACACACAATTATTTTTGATATGATGAATATTTACCCAAAATTAACCAGGAGCAGAGCAGAGATATTGTCTTCATACACACCAGGAATTGAATCAATCTCCCTTACAAAATTCTGACACAGCTAAACTTAGTATGAAGAGCATTTAAATTATTTATAAAAAGGTCAGCAGAGTTCTATTTTTAGGACCATATTCTCTACTCTGATCTGCTTTGCAGGTCTCCTACACAAAGTAGGGAAACCAAAGAGAATCAGAGCACATAATAACACTTAAATCCATCATGGATCAGAGGAAAAGGTTATTCTGGATGTCATTCCAACAAACTCTTTAAACACATGCTTTAGTTCAAGCATGACCTCTAATCCCATTGATTCCCATGGCACTGGAGCCTGCATTAAAAGTAAATACATAATTAAATGCATGGGAAAGGAGGAATGAACCTGGATGTATGTCACAAACGGTTCTGCTGATCTGGGACTTTAAAACTCAGAAGAATTTGTGTCCAGTGGACAGTGGGAGGCAAGACATGAGAATCCTGTGTCCAGGAGCACAATTTCAGCTCCAACCCCTACCCTTGTGTCTTCCTCACCTCCCTGCTTCACTGGAACAGCTCATGGGGGCCAACCAAAGGCCAAAAGCCTCCCAAATTCCCAGGACTGAACCTCCTGCAGGAGTCCCAGCCCCAGACTGCTCCCTGCAGTGGTACCTTTTGTGTCAGCTTCAGTTCCTGTTTCAAATTCTGGAGCTGGTTCCGATATTCTGTCACTTTTATGTTGGCTGCACTCAATTTTTCTTGCAGTGCTTTCACCTCTGGATTTTCAGCCTTGGAGGAGAAGAATGTACTTGGTGAGAACAGAACCCTCAGGGAAAAACTGAAGTGATAAACATCCATGGATCCATCAGGATCACTGAATTATTTTTTCCAGACCTAATTTTTGGGGCATAGAGGAGGTACAGGGGAATTTGGTCCCAAAACTGGTGACAGGGATACATCCTTGTTCTACAAATGAGCTGAGTATCAGCTGCTGATTTCCTCATTTCAATTACAATTCCTACCAAGTCTCCTTCCAGCTTTTTCAGAGGTGATTCCTTGATTCCTGCAGCATCACCACCAAGGGAATGGATTTTTTCTGCAGCTGCCTGTAGCTGGAAAAGAACCCCATTGTTAGTGTAGAATGGATGCAGAGAGTAGTGTCACTCCATGGAGTATTAACCAGCAAAAAAGTATAACTTGGATGTTTATGTACTCTAAAAAAACAAAAGAAAAAAAAAAGAATCTTTTTATGTACTCCAAAAAAAGAACAAAACAAAACAAAAAAATCTGATTTTTCCCTTGTTTTTTAACACAATCAGTAGGAAAGCACTTTTTTTTTTTCCTGAAATGCTTCCCAAAGAATCATGTTACATTTTACTGTGGAATACCTTCAGAAGATGTCTCTGATTTACTGAGATGGGATCAAATTCCAAGTATGGAGACTCCTGAGGCATTTTATCACCAAAAGTACCTCAAATGAATGTTTATATAGACAAATCCAAATCCTGTCCTGCCCAGAATATTTCATAAAATGCAAATAGTTCTACTCAATAGAGGAATATAAAAGGAGAAATCTACCTGACACCCTATTAACTGAGATTTAATGGTGTTAAGGCTCTTTTTCTTTAGCTGGGGGCTCTAAAGTAGTATTTTTTAACTGCTTTAAATAACTTAATTTATTAATTAAGAGTAAAGACTGTCTCCTCTTGCTTGCCACAGCAAAGGAAAACAGACATACAACCCTTCGTGCTCTGAATCATGTCCTATGTTGCTGTTGCAAAGATTTCTAAATGGATGGGAGTGCAGGAATTTGGGGCTGGAAAGGCCAGGAAGTGTTGCTTTAAAAGTTTGGGACTTCATTTTTTTAGGTGAGTGGAAAATCTTGATTATTTGCCCGAATTAAGGAAGGGTCTAAGGAAGAGCTCCTTCATTAAAGGGACATCTGGGGAAAAACTCACTCAGGGCCAGCTCTAATTCCACCTTTTTTCATGGGTTAGGGCCACTCTTTCTATCCAGTTCTTAAAGTTTTGTAGTCAATGAACTGATAATGAGGAATTTCAGCTGGAGCTGGCAGCTGCTGGCTCCAGTTCTGAGGAAATTTCCTGCAAACATCCCTTTGCTCACACGGCCCACCCTTTGCCAAGTGATTGTTCAGTGGCCACACCTTCCATTCTGTTTAAGGGAAAATAATCATGGTAAAATACTTATGATTTACAGATTTTTCAGTTTTCAGGCAAGGAAAGAGCTAAAAATAGGTAAAATAACAGTGTTTTCTAGCTATCACTCTACATTTTTGATAGATACTTCCCAGTGTCTAACACTGCTTTCATTTTACACATCATTTACATCATCTTCTTGTCCCTGAAATGTTTGTGCTTCTTTCTTTTTGGGCCAAAATCTGACAATATTTAATGGTTTTGTTTGAATAATGGTCATTCCACTTCTGCAGTAGGGGAGAGGAACCGAGTTGATTTTTCCTTAAATTATTCATGAATTGCTCCACTACTTGTGTGATTTTGTAGGTCCCAAACTACACCTGATACTTGTTTGCCAACCTGCCAACTGTTTGACAAGACCCCTGTGACCAGAACACTGTGGATTTATGCAGGAGTTCTCAAAAATTTAATTTAATCTACGACTTTTTGATCTTTCAGGTAGCTGGGGTGCAATTCAGGTAGATGCATGACTCATGATAATAAGTGATGGTGAAAGGCTGAGTCAAAATGCATCTGTCAGCATTATTGATTCATTTAACTGATGTCTTCTAAGAAAGCAAAGTTCAGAAAAAAAAATAAAAATAATAAAAAAATCACCAATACTGTGTAAGGAAGAGGAGCAGTAGCCAAAGGACAAAGCAAATATTGACATCAGGACATCTCATTTTCAATTCAGCAGCCACCTGAGTAAAATTACTTCTGTGAAAGGTTGGCAAAAAGTCACAGTAAAGCAGAAAATTTAATCTGTCTGAGTGAAGATTTGCTGTCTTATATCATATAGTTTGGTGTTGTTTCAGTTCTGTAAGTACTTATTACATGAAAACAGATTTCATGATGGGGATAACAAAAGTTTAGAAGAATAAAGAACTAATTAGTGACTGGTCTTAACAAGGTGGGAATGTAAGACATAAAGGTGTGAAATTTGCTTCTCCTCAGAAAAAATAAGTAATAAGAAAAATATCATTGCCAAACTAGTAGAAAAGTCTCTGAGCTTCTACAAATGAACATTCCTAAATGCTGTCTAATAAATCCTTGGCTCATTATAATCTGGGGATATCCTTTCCTATCCCCTCCAGTCTGCAGAGGTGAAACAGCTGAGGGAACACACCATGGACAGAAACAACCACAACCCAAAGCAAACACAGATTTAAGAGCAAATTCAACACGGGAACATGAACCAAACTAATTTTCTAATCCCAGAGGCTGGATTTCCATGTTTTATTATGCAAAAAGAACAAGAAAAATGCCTCACTTCTCTCTCCAGCTCCTTGACTCTGTGATTCAGCTGCTTCACTTTGGCTCTCTCACTCTCAAACTCAGCAGTCACCTCCCGGTTCTTTTTGGCCAACTCAACTATTTTAGTGGCAGCCACGTCTCCAGCAAAACCAGACACCCCTGAAAGAACACATCAAAGCAGAGGGCACGTCTTACAGGCAGGATTCAGAACAGAGCATGCTTTTGTTCTCTGTCACAATGAACTTCCATTGTCCCATCCCTTCCTCGCTGAGCTGTGCCAGGCTCTTCAATGAACAAGTGAGGGAAGAGATGTCAGAGGTGCCAGCTGGATGGGTTGGTCCTTTGATCCAGCAGCACACCATGGCCACATTTCACACTGTGGCAACAGCCACAAGGCCACAACAGTCACACAACAGTGGTTGTAGCAACATTTTTACCTGGAGATGGCAGTGGTGTTTCCTGCTCGCTGCTGGGAAGGACAGCTGGGAACAGGATTTTTTGGCATTACCACAAAAAAAAGGCAACACTCTGCTTTGGCTGGTTGTTTACTACTGGAGGAGTTGCTGGGACAGAGGTGTCAATGTTTCTAGACATCAGTCCTCAAAGGTCAGGCACAATATTGCAGTTGGGTCCTGGACGAGGTCCAGGAAATTTCATTGTGCCTATTTATAACTCCCTTGGGATTACACAGGGAGCTTTACTGGATGACTCTTTTAATTGCTCTTTTAATTAGCCACGTCACTGGCTCCCTCATCAAGGAGGGTTTGATTAGTGCCACAAACAAAGCAAACCCCAGGCTTGGCTGTTGTGTCACCTGGCTCTGGTTAAAGCCACACAGGTGAAGCAAAGCTCTTGTACAAGCGCAAAATCAATGTCATGGCAAACAATGGCCACAGAAACTTCCAGCTCAGCAAGGAACATGAGCCTGCAACAACAAACCTTTGATGGGGGTGTGAAGACTGAACTTGGCTGGTGTCATTCCTCTTAACTCTTTCATGCTCCTTCAGGGCTCTGCAGTAACCACTTTTCTGTGATATTTGTGAACTGGGGTGGGAGGAGAGGTGAGAGATCACTCCCAAGTGAATGCTGAGGCCCATGCAGCCCCAGAGACACTAATGGGCCACACAGAATGCAGCTGGGAACAGAATTTGTTTCTATGCCACTATTTAAAAAAACTTGTAAAGAACATAATTTATTGTTTTAAAGGAATTTATTTTAAAAGCATTTAAAATGCTTTTTTAAAAAGCACTTTAAACCAATTCATTATTTTCAAAAGCACTGTTCTCACTCCTTTGTGTGATTTGTGTTACCCCTCCCACCTAGGAGCTACTTTTACCTCAGTTTTCAGGATAAATAATTGCTGCTGAGAATCACAGTAAATACTAAATTAACCAAAGCCAGGCTGCTGCTTCCGTGTTAAATTGCTGGTCTTGAAATGCATTGCACACACTCACCCAAGGCTTTTCATTCCCAAGCAATGGGGGGATTGCCACAATGCAGACAGGGAAGACAGAGGCAAGGGATTGGCATCAGAAGCTGCAACAGCACATCTGGCTCCTGTCCTGACCAGGAAGAGATTAGCACCTCTCCTACACAAAAACTACAGCTGCTTTTTAAGGATTAAGGTGGAATTTAATGTTATTTAATTCTCTTCCTTGCTGGTTTCCCCTTCTCTTCAAGTCTGGTCATCACTGCTGTCCTGACCAACAGTGGCACCCAGTGGAGGAGGTGCAGCCTGCACAGTTCAGTTGTCAAAAAAACACCAAAATCACTTTAGAAGTTGAATTTTGCATTCATCCAGCATCCTGCCTGTGCCCTGTTCAGGCAGAAAAAAAAGGAGCCTGAATAAGAAATTTAACCCTACAGAGCAGAGAAAGTTGCAGCACAGCTCTTTGACACTAACAGGAAGTTTTCCAAAATAATATTTATATGGAACATCATTATTTTTGTGCCAATAATAGCAAGTTTACAGTTCTATGAGGAACAGAAATCACTGCAGACCCTAAAAGGACACTATTCTTTTCAGGGACATTATTTTGTCACCAGCATCAAGCAAACCAACATGGGGAGAACTCAAAGTTGCTGTGTTTACCTGACAGAGCCAACCTCTCCTCCCGTACTCTTTTCTGGAGCTCCTTTATTTCAAACTCTTGCTCTGCTGTCAGTTTGTGGAGCCTGCAGTTCTCATCCCGGATCTCCCGGAGCTGATCCTGCAGCTGCTCATTCTCAGCCTCAAGCAAACTAGGAAAAATAAACCATAATGGCAAATAGTGCACAAATAGGTGCTCCTAGAAATAAAATAATGAAACCACTGCATGATAGATGAGCTGAGCTTATCAGGAGGGAGTTTATTGAATTAGGCAGAATGTCCTAAACCTCACATAAAAACACAAGCTGGTTAGCTGATCTGTTCAGATAACATCTTCTTAAAAAAAAAAAATAAATAAAAATTGTACTTTCTTGAGTTGTCTGGGGCAAAACATCACAGAACAGGCGTACTGAAATTACCAAATAGTGTCATCTCAGTGTTACTCACCTGCTTCTTCAGAGAAAATCAGGCAGCAGTCAGCATGTGGGACATTCAGGCTTTCTTTAATATTTATATGGAACATCATTATTTTTGTGCCAATAATAGCAAGTTTACAGTTCTACGAGGAACAGAAATCACTGCAGACCCTAAAAGGACACTATTCTTTTCAGGGATATTATTTTGTCACCAGCATCAAGCAAACCAACATGGGGAGAACTCAAAGTTGCTGTGTTTACCTGACAGAGCCAACCTCTCCTCCCGTACTCTTTTCTGGAGCTCCTTTATTTCAAATTCTTGCTCTGCTGTCAGTTTGTGGAGCCTGCAGTTCTCATCCCGGATCTCCCGGAGCTGATCCTGCAGCTGCTCATTCTCAGCCTCAAGCAAACTAGGAAAAAATAAACCATAATGGCAAATAGTGCACAAATAGTTGCTCCTAGAAATAAAATAATGAAACCACTGCATGATAGATGAGCTGAGCTTATCAGGAGGGAGTTTATTGAATTAGGCAGAATGTCCTAAACCTCAGATAAAAACACAAGCTGGTTAGCTGATCTATTCAGATAACATCTTCTTAAAAAAAAAATAAATAAAAATTGCACTTTCTTGAGTTGTCAGGGGCAAAACATCACAGAACAGGCGTACTGAAATTACCAAATAGTGTCATCTCAGTGTTACTCACCTGCTTCTTCAGAGAAAATCAGGCAGCAGTCAGCATGTGGGACATTCAGGCTTTCTTTTCTATACTTGACAAAGCCAAGAGAAGCCAACAGAGCATCGAATACAAAGCTGCCCCTGAGGTCCTTTAAAAATCAATGTTTTAGAGCAATTCATAAAAGACCAATTTACCATGTCCTCAGCTGATTCTCCTGGAACCTTGTGAGCATCAGTTTGTATTATTAATGGTGCCTTTTGGAATTCATTTAGAAACAGAGAATACCAAAAAAAGCCCTCTGAACGGAAAGAAACAGCTCTGCTTCTCCTATTCTTCAGGACATTTAGCAACATTTAAAGGTTTCATCTCTTTAAGACATCCAGAGAATTAATAACTTTAATTTCTTTATGGCCCTGATGTGATGGGTTCTTCAAATATAAAATCCAGGAGCTGTGGCCTCAGGGGCTCTATTCAGTTGTGGGAGTTCAGAATTATCTGAGCTCCCTGACACGGGCTCCTTGAGAAAATCTGGGATTTAATACAATTACCCACACACAGGTGACATTTGGGCTGCCCACCTAACCCCAGCTGCTGCTGGTGGAAGATGCCCTGTGATTCCCTTTGGAAGTTCCTGATAATCTACAGCATCTCAGTTATCCAGACACCTAAATCAGCTGGAAGAATTGACTCCCAGATTCTCATTTAACCCTAAATGTTTACACTTTGGAGATGTGGTTTGGACAAAGCCCAGTTGTTACAGTATGTACCTGTAAACACAACCAAGTCAGATGTCTCAATAACCATCTCATTTTTTTTATTCCAAAGTTTTAGCAAGTTCTTAGCACCCATTGGACCTGAGAGCTTTTAAATGCACCTTCCATGTGCCCATGGCAGAATAAATAACCCCTTAAGGCACTGCCATAAACAGCACAGCCAGTTTGGGAGAGGATTCACAATGCATAATTAAAAAATGCACTTGTGTTTCAAAGCTGCAAATCAAAGGGAGATCAAAGGCAGCTGTTCACAAAGGAGAAGAAAGCAAAGAGCAATGTGAGCAGAGGAGAGGCAGAACTGAATTATTCCCACATGAACCACTCAGAGGAGTGAGCAACAAAACTCAAATCCAATTAGAGACACCTGAACCAAAAGATTTTGAACAGTTAGGGGATTAACATGGAAAAAAGGTTCTAAGCTCTTAACACACCTGAGCAGCGAAGTCTTCTGAGAGCTGGAGTCCAAGGCTTGAGGAAAAGCACTTAGAGGAGGATGGACAGAAATGCCAACTGCACAGAGCTGGAGTCTTCTCTGAGGAACTTCCCACCCCATCCCAGAGTGACTCTCCCTGTTACAGAGGCTATAAATGAGCCAAAAGAAATGGGCTGCCAAATATGCCCCTTTTCACTCTCCTTCAAGGAATCAAAGCCAGGTGGAGCTTATGAGCAGGGCTCTGCCTGGAATTCAGGTGGTTTCCCAAATTGCATGCCCTGTTCAGGCCAAAAAAAAAGTACAAAAACAGTAAGGAATTTAACTTTTGTCAAATTGTGTCTTTCCCAAATCTTGTTAGAGATTCTCCACGTGATGGGTAGAGTCTCTTAGATACATTCAAGTACACCAAACAGAGAAGGGAGGATAAAGTTACAAAGTGAACATAAGAGAGAGGCAGAAATATCAGCTAAACACTTGTCTAAACAAGACTGGGGAGTAGGATGGGAGGAAGGAAAAAAGAATTCCCAAGGCTCAGAGGAAGGGAGACTTCTGAGAGGAAAATGTTTTCTGGTTGCTGCTATAAACAACAGTGACAAGCTCAAATCACTGTCACTGCAGGCCATGTGGAGTCCTGTGATCCTGGAACAACCCTCTGATGTGTTGTCATGGGAATATTGCAGAGAACATGCTGGTGAATCCCTTCCAAAAACAAATCCTGCCTGGATTTGATCACTCACAACCACTCCTCTGCTGAATGTACACAAGCAAAGGACAATCCAGATCTATCTGCCACACCTGCCATGTCAAATGGGGACTTTTGACAGTGACACAGCAACAGAGGTAAATAAAAAATGTGGGATTACTCAGGCCTGAAGTACTGAACACTAAATAGCAGAGAGCTACTGGGCTTTCCTGTACTCTGCACACTGCCCCTGCTGTGCCATGGGAGCACCTAAATCCTTTTCTTTTGCCAAACAGCTGAACTATGAGAATCAGCCTCACAGGAATTTGTTAAAAATCAGATTTCCATCATAATCTTTTACAGATTATCAGAAAACAATGTTGAAGGGAAGAGACAGCTGGTAGAGGTCAGATTGGGGGCTTAACTTGGCAAATCAGACAGCTCTGGTGAGGCACCAGTGCATGAAGGAATTTCTTCACCTGGCTTCACCACTGCCACAGAGCAAAGCCCTGAACAGGAAATGTTGCAATAAGGTAGAAAAATCATAAAGAAAGGCTTCATAAAATCAAGCCTGCTCTGTTAAAATCAGTGGCTGGCCTTGTCAAAACTAATACTTTGCAAGTTCCCATGTGAAAGCAATCCTGGTGTGAACAGTTCATTAACACAACGATCTGTTCCTGGGTGAAAAATAACTAGAATCTGTAGAAATTGTTTTTACACAGTTAGACAGAAAATGAAAATTATCTCTCACAAACAACTTTCTCTGCACATACACCCCAGGGGTCTGAGTCACCAATCAATACAGAATAACAATTTGTTACTGACCAATAAGTAATTGGCAAGAAAGCTACTGACCAATTGGAGTCACACCTGAGGTCTGACAAACTGTACAAAAAGGAGTTAAGTGAATAAAGAATGGGCTTTTTCCACCACGAAGAAAATGGAGTCAGTGTGATTTATTCCCATAGCCAGCAGTGCAGACACCTTTGGGTGTGCCCAGCCCCAGACCTGCTCTAGTCAGGAGAAGAAGTATTAATTGGGTCAGAGGGAAAGGCTGACTATATCCTGGGAGGAAGAGAAATGATCCCAGCTAGGGCTTTAAATCTCTGCTCCAGTACTCAGCTCAAAAGAAAACACAAGATTAAGGGAGATCCGTACCAAATGTGGTATGTGATCCACCAAATCTTGTGTGTGATCCACCAGATCAGGATATACTGCAAAGTAATCCCAGGGAACACTCTTCTGTACTGCACGCCTGTGGCTTGCTCCCATTAGCTGCTTGGCCTCTCTCAATCTTTGGAAATTATTCATGAAGAAAACCTATTAGTTTACAGCTAGGCAGGAACTAACCAGCAGTTCAGAGGGTGCCAGTGACCCCAAAAGGCTGGATTTTGTCAGGTAGTACCTGGTTGCCCCTTTGGCTTTCAAACAGCCCTTAAAAAAAAAAAGCTGTTGGGTCTTTTTCACTCCAGAATTCAAAAAGCAAAAGTTTCCAAATGTTCCTAAACAGACCTGTTTAAATAAACATTTTAACAGAGGAGCAGGTTGGAGCCAAATCCAAGCCAATGTGGCAGCCAGGTCACACTGGAGTGTTTGGGACCATCCAGCCTCCCTGCCCACGTCCAGGAAAGGTGCAAATCCCCCCATTTTTGGGTTAATGAGAGAGAAAGAAAAATATTTTATTTCCTCATGCTCCCTTCTGGCAAGGCAAAAGTGTGGCTTACATCTTTCCTGCAATCACTGAGTGGTAATATTAAATAACTAAATAATAATAAATTATTAAGTATATTTAATTATAACAATATATTATTAATAGATTTTTTAAAATAGTAATATTGCTACCCAAACTGACTAAAGACAGTTTTCTGATAAACTGCAGCCCCTTTCTCCTTCTGTTTGACATTTATTGTGGGCAAAAAAACCCTATTGCACATTTAGTCTAGAAAAACTAATACATAAATACCTCCAAAGGCACACCCTGCACTGAGCAATTAACACAGGGCCTTTCCCACACTGAGGGAAATCCAATTATCCTGATTGATGCACCAAAACCAGAGTGTCCCTTTGTGTGTTTTATGGGCAGAGAGTCACCTGGACAAGGTGCAAGGAGCAGAGTCTGGTGCCTCTGCACAGCCCACAGGGCTCTGGCATGAGGAATCAAAGAATTACTGAGTCAGTGAGGCTGGAAAATTCATTTCAATTGATTAAAGCCGATTCTGAGATTTGGAAAAAGCCTACAGAGATAAGGAGTCCATTCCATTTACTTAAGCAAACTGGATGTAAAATTTAGACAGCTTTTCTGGTTTCAGTAACCTTTGGGTTGATAATTAAATTTATAATTAGATTGGATCTCTTGATAGGTTTAGCTACTGACCTTAAAGATAGCAAAGATAAGCAAGAACATCTTCAAACAGTAGTTGTCTCTGTTCTCAAAATATCCTAGAAGTTTTAGCAGAGTAACTATTTTAGGCTTCATGATTTTTTTTCTCAGAATTTTCTTTACTTAGACTGCATTGCTGATTAAGTAATTACTTCATAACTTCTGGAGGTTTTTTTTTTTTACTTCTCTATAGGGCAGAAACGTGCACGGTGCTCAAGGTGCAGCTCCATCACACAATGCTGCGATGGAGAAGCCCTCAGATCCCCTGTCCAACCATTAACCCAGCACTGCCACCAAGCCTTGTCCCCAAGTGCCACATCCACGTGGGATTCCAACACTTCCAGGCATGAAGTGCTCCGACAGTGTTCGACACTTCCAGTGATGAAATATTCCCGAACGTCTCCTCTGAACCACCCGGGGCTGCAGCCAGGAGGGCTCCAAGGTGGGCTCACCTGGGGCAGGCGACACAGGAACGCACCCAGGTGGCCTTGGGATGTCTCCAGAGAAGGAGACTCCACGCCCTCCCTGCCCAGCGCTCAACGGAAAGAATTTATCACCCATCTTGAGGCAGAATTTCTTGTGTTTACGTTTATATATTTTAACTGCAAGCCTGTAGCTGTAATTATCACCCTCCCGCTCGCCCTGTGACCTGCCAGGACCTGCCAGGTCCCGGCAGCGCCGCCGCGCTGTTCCCTCATCGCGGGAGCTCCTGCCCGCGCTTCCCGCACCTCCCCCGGCCTACCCGAGCCGCGTTCCCGAGGGCACCGGGAGGGTGTCCCCGGCTGTCCCCGTTTCCTGCTGGGCAGCGGCGGGAGCGGAGCTGCGGCCCCGGCTCCCGCTGCGGGCCCGATGCGGTGCCCATGGCAACGGGAGCGCGCGCGCGCGCCCTTCCCCTCACGGCCGCCGCCATGATGGCTCCTCCCTCACACCCCGTTCCCCATCGCCATTCCCGCAATTCCCGCACCGATCGCGGCCCCTCGGCGCCACCGGAGCGGCTCCTTCTCCCCGCTTCGCGGTGGTAGGAACAGGAAAAGGCGCCGGCGCCCCTCCCCGTGTGTGCGGGAGCAGGCAAGGGCAGCAGGGTGATACCAGCCGGGAGTCAAGGAGAGCACCGGCTGGGAATTCCCTTTCCACCAGCGCTGCACCCTCCTCAGGGGATTTTTATTCTGCTCACGCTTTCCCTCTGCTGCGGCACGGGAGCTTCCCCCAACAAATCCTTAGGCGAACAATAATTACCTCCACTGTTGTCTTTTATTCGTGTTTAACCTCCCCCTGCTCTGAACAACAGGTCACAGACAGGTAGGTGCAGTTTGTACCTTGTGTGGGTAACATCTGAGACCATCACCATGGAATGTCAGCTGACAGGAAAATATGTGCTTTTTTAGAAATTGGCTTTTATTTTCGTGACTGCTGTTGGAAGTACAAGGAGTTTGAGAGTAAAGTAACTCACAGACAAGGATTTTAATACCTCAAAGGTGATGGGGGGGCTTTTCAGATTTAAATGTTTTAAAATTTTCTGTGGGGAACAGTACTGCAGAAATCAGCTAGATCGTACACTTTTAAAGCATTAAACCACCAAATTAAAGTTTAGTTTTCACAATCTGTATTTTAAATGTTACATTTAGATGTTACTAAGAAGAACACTGGAAATAAAGTTACAAAATACCATAATCCAAGGGTCTGATACTGCAAAAATAGGGAGCTTGTGTCTTCGTTAACAATGAATAAATATAACATTTAAATAGCTGTGACATACTTATCTCTATGCTTTAAATAAAAAATATACATGTTTATATAGCTCTCAATATTTTAGAAGTCATTTAGTGCTACTCTGGAAGCTTCTAAATTACAAAGTTGGAGGCAGAGGATAGAAAATGACAGCAAGGCGTTCCTGACATTCCCTGACAGAAGCCAGTTCAGACATCATGGTTTTGGGCAACAACAGCAGAAAAGTCACCAGTTTTAGGACTGAGTTGAAGGGGAAGATAGAGGGATTGCACTCCATGATATCCCTAAAAAACTGGGATGTGGTGGCATCAATAAGAGAGACCCAGACCCCAATAGGCGCTCCCCCAGGTCACATTCTGAGGCTGTCAGGTCCAGCACAGTGTACCATACACAAAATAGAACAATTCTCTAATGCCATGTATTATTTGTTTTCCTCAAGAACCCCTCCGTAGGGGGTTTGGAGCTGCAGTACACAGGCCACCACCAGGACAGGGATTTCAGACAGCTTCCCACTATTCCTTGGGCTTCACCACGTACTCCTGGAACATGGAATACAGCACCCCTTCAAGACAGAAAAAAAAAAAAAAAAGCACAATTAAAAAACTGTGTTAAATTAGAAATAATGGGTTTCAAAATCTCAACAGTTCTCAGCAAGACAGAATTTGCCTTCCTCCTCAGCTGCATTTTTTTAATAAACACTACAAAATTCTTCGTATACAGAGAAACCAGGTGTGAAAAGATAGAATTTATGAAAATGCAGATCCTGAGCTAATTCTGGTTGATTTTGTGGCCAAAGTCAAGCTTTTCTGATGTTCCTGCTGGGAATGCAGTATGGACAAACAGTGTTTCATGGGATGGACATTTACACACAGAGGAGACCTGAGATGTACACATCAGGGGCACAGTGTCCCTGTACATTCAGAGACACAAATTCAGTCCTGAAAAAATATATACACATATAAAAATATGTAATACCATGGTCTACATATGCTGTAGATATTCCTGTGCATTAAATTCAGAAACAGCAACATATTTAATGTCAGATGAATGTTTTCTTTTTTTGGCCTGTAAGAGGCAGTGATGCAGAACCATCTAGACATAATCAAAACTACTCTGAAATTAAATACTTAAGTACATAAAATCAGATTACTCCAGAAAGGCTGATTGAGCACCAGTAAGGAGCACAACCATCCTGAAATAAATGTTCTGGATGCTTCCAGGAGGCTCTCCATAGCTTCCCATTCCATACGTACCACACGTCAGGGCTCCCACGGCGAAGCCCTGGGCTGCCACACGCATGTGGATCAGGTGAAGGGACAGTTTCATGTCACCTCTGTGCTTCAGCTTGTAGAGCCCGTAGGCAACCACGGCGGTGAAGCCAGCCATCCCTGCAAGGCAAGGAGAGCATCCCTCTGAGTGGAGATCCGGGGCAGCGGGAGGACTCAAGGGACCCACCTAAACAAAACAGCCCGTGAACCTCTGAGCTGTTCAGGTTGGAAAAGACCCTTAAGATCACCGAGTCCAACCAGCTGCCAAGGCCCCTGCTAAACCGTGTCCCCAGGTGTCACTTCTGTACAGGTTTTCAATCCCTGCATTGATGGCGATTCTACCACTGCCCTGGGCAGCCCTTTCCTTGAAATTTTTCCTGATATCCAATCTAAACTTCCCCTGGCACAACTTGAGGCCATTCTCTCTCATACTAGAATAAGCCTGTTTGGGTCTAATCACTGGTTTTGTGGAGTGGTAAATCCTAGCCCTGGTTTCACTCCAGTGCCACCTCATTCATTGCACACACCAGTGCAGGGAAGAGGAAGAGATTTCCACCAGCATTAAAATGCCAAAGGACTTTGGCATTACAGCTCAGGGTGTGAGAATTCCCTGGATATTTTTCAGACAGAACCAGGGCTCCTCACACCTTTCCTTCACGGACACTCACAGCCAAGACCCCCACCCAGCTGATGCTCAGACTCCCAGTGTGTGGATGCTCCCTGATGTATCACTGGCCTGCTGCGGTGGCTATTTTGGGTGTTGTCACATTTGGCTAGGTGCCACCAGGACAGGACAAGTCACACGTTATTGTCCCCAAGCTGTGAGGAGGAAGGCTCTACCAGGTCTCTTTCCCAGGGCCAGAATTCACTGATAGTCCTTCAGCAGAGCAAACAGCCCCAGCTTTGCCAGCTTCAACACTGATGGTTTCACAGAACGCACAGAGAAATGCACAACTTCTTCCAATTCCATCTATTTCATTCCATTTTTAGGACTATTTGCACAGTTCATAGGTGCATGCCAAGTTTTAAGTGCTGTGTATATTTTACTGAGCAGAGCACGGGCAGTTTGTCTTCCTTGAGCCAGAGCATTACCAGTGCCACCAGAAAGCCGTAAACACTTAATTCACTCTCATTAAATACCAATTAACAGTTTTAGGGCCTTCAGCCCAGCTCTGACACAGGTCAAAGGTGAGTTCTGCCAATCTGCTTCGGGGAACTGGAACTCCTGGAGTTCACGGTACAGCCCAGCAAGGTGGAGACAAAGTGCAGTGAGCACGGAAGCAGTGACGGAAATCTGCTGGCAAATGCTCAGAACAGTTCACCCCGAGTGACCCCGCTGCTCTCCATTTAAGGTGGCTGGAAATCAAAACGTGTCTTGTGTCACACAAAAGCTGATCCCTGCTCTCCTCAGAAGCTTTTTGGGAGTCTCAACAGAGAGGCTAAGAACTTTAACAACTTCCTCAAGCTAGGTGTAACATAAAAGTTACTAAAAAAATGCATTTTAAACTAAGTGATGGCAGCAGAGGCCTGAAATGTTTACCAGACAGGCTGTAATTTAAATCCTTCTGTCTGTGTTTTGATAGCTTTTAAGTCACTTTGTAGTGGTCACATAATTCCCAGGAACTGTGCTCCAGAACAGCTACACAACACACTCCTTAACCACCTGACAGCATCACTTTCCCATGTTTTTCTAGCCTCACCTAAAAAGCTTTTCAGGGTTTGTTTGTTTGGGGTTTTTTTCTTATACTTGTAGGTTCTGAGTTTTTTATTTAAGGTAATAGACCTCATTAATTTCCCTCTTTCTTGTAGGACAACTATTACAGGGAGGTAATTTCTAAGTAATTTCCTGTTTACAGATAAAAGGTGAACAGTGATAGTGTCTCCCACATCGATTGTGCAAACACATTTCTCCATTTTTGAACTCACCAATGGGCACAAATGGCGTCTCCTTAAACTTTTTTATCAGCTTCGAGGTCTGGCTGGTCTCTGTCTCATACTCAGGATAAACTGATTCCTGGCTGGGTGACATTGTGGCTGTGAAGACAAAGAACCTCCCTTCAGGTTTTGGAAACCCCAAATAAAGAGAATCTTTAGGGAAAGAAAGTCAGAAAATCCCTTGTGTATTCCATCAGTCACAAATATCCAGATAGCAAGATACAAAAACAGGCACATGGACAGATGGTTTAATTCAAGTGAAGCCTTGGGAAGCACAACTGTGCTTACCAGGAGAGGTAAGAACGAAACAAACCCAAAAAAAGTAGAAGAGCAACAAATTTCTGCTATCCAGAGATGCAGGACGGCCCCCATACTCACAGGCAGCCACAGAAAGCTTTGGTCACTGCCTGCTTTTCCTTTTAGGAATTCCATGCCTCACCACTCGGCTTGGCTTTCGCAGGCTGGTCCTTTATAGCAGCTCTGACCTCAGCAAGTTCACTTCTCCCCCCTCACACCCTGCCAGGAGCAGCAGCCACAGCAGTTGGGTTGGGAAGCACGAGCTGCTGCACAAGGTCAGCCCTGCCTGGCAGCTCCTCAGTCACCACAGCCTATCCCACATCACCACAACTCCAAATTCCTGATGGAGAACACAGGGATGGGAAACAGCCACCGCCAAGGAGCTGCTGAGCAAGTCCTCAAGTTGTGCAGACTCGTGTGGGGTCACATCAGGAGGAGAAATCATCCACAGGTGAATTCTCACCTTCCCCCAAGGAAAATAAAAAGCAGCAACAGCTTGAGAAGGGCTCCACTCACAGAACCACCATCACCAAAGTGAGACCACCCGCCAGAACTTCCCTGCTTTTTGTGTTGGGAATTGCACGGATTACACCAAGACCTGTTCTCTGCTCAGTGCTCTGCATAAACATCTCTCAGTTAATGACAATTTCTGCCAGTGACACCACAGAGGGCCCTAATAAAAAAATCTCTACTGCTATTTTTCAGCTTTGCCACCAACAGCAAAACACAGCTCAGGGGCACTTAGAAAGGCTCCAAGTTCTTGGAATAAACCAAGTGGAATTTCATTAGGCAGAAGAGACATTTCAAAGGTGGCCACGCTCCGTGGTTACACAGCATTTCGAGCGCACCCACGTGAGCAGACTGACTGGCTCTCAAACCATTTCCTCTGCAAGGCAAAAGGATTTGGTCTCTCCACACCTCCTACAACCGCTCTCATTTGCTGAATGAAAATTATAATTTTAGCCTGACTCATTCACAGAAGGTAACAAGAGCTCTCCATCACTCAGCAGAGGAAGAGACAGCCAGAGGTGAGATTTACACAACAAAATTATATTAAAAGTGAAACAATTCATCCAGCAGGGGAAGTTTCTGTGACCTTCAGCTCAGATCAGCTGCCCTGGGCACAGGGCAGAAGAAACTGGGTAAAACATACGGCCCTGCTGCCCTGACCTTGCCCACACCGAACAGGGAGGTCAGGGCACCTGTGTGACCGATGTCACCCGCGGGGGAGGGACACTGAGGGAGGACCATGGGTGGGAAGGTGACAGGTCCCAGCATCCCTCCCTCCCGGCAAGGGGGAGGCCCTGGGTATCCCCAGGCTGCCTTCCGCCTGCCCAGCTCCACGTGGGGATCCTTCCCCTCTCCATCCCCAGGCCCCCGCACCCCACATGGGGATTTTTCCCCACTGCGGCCCCACGCAACTTTACCGCACTCCGGCCTTCTGCCCTACGTCCCCACACGGGGCCTCTGCTCCCCTCCCGCCCGTCACTTTCCCCCCACATGGGAGCCCTTCCTCGCTCCAACCCCAGGCACCGGCACTCTCCTGCAGAACTCGGGCTGTGTCCCCGGCGGTGCCGCGGGTCCCGCCCGCCCCAGACCCGGCTCTCACCGCGCTCATCCGATACCGGCCGGCGTCTGCCGCACCCGACCCCGCCCCTACCTCTTATTGGAGGCTTCCGCCCCGCCCCTCCGCCGGGACCACAACTCCCAGCGTGCCCCGCGCCCGCGAGCTCGCCGACAGCCAATCCGGAACGTGGCCGCCACCACCGCTTCCTTATACGGGTGCGGGGGCGGGCGGGCGGTGACGTCAGCGGGCGGCTCTCCGCATTGCGGCGGGAAGGCGGTGGCGCGGGGCGGCCGGCAGGTGGCGCTGCGGGGCCCCTCCCGGCAAGAGTCCCGGCCTCAGTCCCGGCCTCAGTCGCGGCCTTCGCGGTACCGAGAGCCGGGCGGCCGCTCCGAGTCTGGTTTAGCCCCAAAAAAAGCAAAACAGCGGATGTTCAGGGCGGAAAAATGGCTACTGGTGGTTCTGCAGCTTGTCTGCTTTTCGCTTCAAAAACTTCCCGTGTTGACACACTGACGTGGAGTCAGATGGAGAGAGACTATTGGCAACAGCACGGAGTGACAGGACGAGGGCGAGCAGTGTTAAAGGAAAAGGGAAGCGCTTTAGTTTAGATATTGGAAAGAAATTGTTCCCTGGGATTACTTTGTGTAATTAGTCAAAAAACTTTTAAAGTGAGTTATAACATCAAGTTCTTTGTATGTTGCCGGGGATGTGAGCTGCTGGCATCTTCCCATTGTCATGACTTTGTAATGAGACTGATGCTAGAAAATTCTTCAGCAGTCCCATCCCATTTGTGATTTGTACATAAACCCTCAACCAGCGACAAACACTTCTGAGATTCTGTGAAATCTGGGCTCTTGCTTAGTCCTTTGCTGAAGAGCTTCCTCCTGATGTCAGAATCATGGAATGGTTTGGGTTGGAAGGGACCTTAAAGTTCACTGCGTTCCACCCCCTACCACGGCAGGGACACCTTCCACCAGGTCAGGTTGCTCCAAGCCCCATCCAGTTTGGAATGCTTCTAGGAATGGAACAGCCACAGCTTCTCTGGCTTTCCCTCAGCCTGATTTTCTTGCTGCTGAGTTATGACATTGACTAAGTTTTCTTGTATTTCAGCTTTCAAGCAGACCTCGTTTTATCCCCACTCTGTGCCAGGATTTTGATGCCCAAAGACAGCCTAGAAATTGCTCCTGACTTAAACCGTATTCTGGAAGAGGAAGAAGAATCCACTGGGATCCCAAAGATGCCTAAAACCTTCTCCTAAACCTGAGAACAGCTTGTCAGAGAAAACCACAAAGATAAATCCTTTTGTCCCTAAGCCCAGTGCTCCTGTGTGGTGTTTGTACCTCCCCATCTCTGAGCTGGGGGAAGGCAGAGCTGCTGCTCCTGCAGGGTCACTCTGCCACTGACATGTGGCATTTTGGGCAGCACAGAATAAAGTGGCTCAGACAAGCCTGCATCTCTCTAAATGTGCTGCCCATTACCCCTAATCTGGTTACTTTAATTGCCAAAGCCATTAGGGCCCTGCAGTCTGAAAGGAAACAAAAAAATCGATGCAATTACCAGCCCTGAAATTGAGTTAAAATCTTGTGATAAATTACAGTGAAGGCCACTTTCTCCAGTGACTCTCAGAGGCACATTTAATTCTCTGCTTCAGGGCAGAAACTCAATTAAAAACGAAAACTTATTTCATTTTAATTGCTGGCCTAATGAAACCTCTGTCACCTGCAGCTTCCTTGTGTGTGTCCAGTGTCTCAGCTCTACAAGTGGCTTCTTGCTCTCTGCTAATGTGTGTGTTGCACACATATTATAATAATATATATTTATTACAGAGTGTATTTTAAGTGCAGCAGCAGCAGCTGATGGTGGCAAACATGGAAATAGACAAAAATAAATAATTTCTCTCTGTGAATCTCTGTGGATGTGGAGCTGTGGCCATCTGCTGCTCTGCTCTCCTGTTTTTACCAGGGTGGTTTGGGGTGAATAAAATGCACTGGGATTGGCACAGGGGAAGCCTTGGCACAGCCAGGGTGTTCCCATGGCCCTGTTTGTTGGTGAGATGAGGAAACAAGCAGGAGAGTGACCACTCACCCATGCTGATGCCCAAAACCTCCTCCAATAAACCACTTCATCAGAAGCAGTTTTGGCAGAGGCCATTTCTGGTCTGGCAGGGGATGAGGATCCTGCCGCATCAGATTTCCTGGAAAACACATGGATTTTTTACAGCAGGAGCTCAGCTGTGGGAGGTGTTGTAGATGTTGTGCTCAAACACAGGGAGGAGATCATTCTTCCAGAGCTGCCAGGGAATGATGAAAAGCAGGAAAACAAGACAAAACCAGGGAGGTTATGCTGAGCTCACATTTCCTGACTGTCCTCTTACACAAACGAAAGAAGTTCCTAAAAGCCTGGTTCAAGCCTCTGGCAGGATGGAAAGAGGAGAAGAAGCTCCTGTAAGTGCCTTTTCTGCTTCTTGTTCATAGACGAAGCCACACAAGAAACCAGGCAAGGCTCTCTTTTGTTTTTGAAAGACAGCCAGCGTGGGGCTGGGATTAATTCCTGAGCTCAGCCCTCCCTTCCATTCTGAGGTACGGGATGGGGATGTGGACGCCAGTGCCAGGCTGATGTGGAGGGAGAAGGATGTGGCAGAGGGAGAAAAGGCATCTCAGTGGGCTGGAAGAAACCCCAAATGCAAATTTTGGGAATGGTTTGTCCTGGTGTGGCAGAGGGGGAATGAGGGGGAAGGTGTTTATGAGTCTCGGATGTTGCTGTGATCAGCAGGGTGTGCAGCTTTGGTTTCCTCTCAAAGGCCTGCAGTCACAGCTGAGGGTGACTTTCCTCCAAAATATGATCCAGAAAAGAAATTTTAAAAAGCTCATTCCCAGACAAGTCTTTTTGTGGCACTTTTCCATGGCAGATCCATGCTCTCCCACTACTCTGTCTGTAGTGCTCTGCAGCACTTGCGAAAGAACTGGGAGACAGCACAAAAACATTTCAGTCCAGCTCAAACCCATTTTTCTTTTCAGCTGCCTGGAACTGCCTGGAATGGGTATTTGAGCAATTTCAGTCATGGGACCACAGCAGGTACGTCCAGAGCTTCACTCTTTACAGCTGCACACCCACTCTGAGCCTGTGGGGTGGATGGGCACCCCTTTCCCTGGTGTTTGTGGGGAGGGAGTCATCCCTAAAACCTGCAGATCCACCATGGGATAAACCCTCATTGGGATGCACAGCACAGCCAGGGACCAACAGCTTCATTTCTGAGTGGCTGCAGAACTCTGCAGGGACAAACAGATCCTTGAGGAGAGACTGGAGCTACACAGCCAGGCCTGTTTGGGATTGCTGGAAAATGAGCCCCAGGGAAATGATGGGTAGCTTTGGCCACGGCTGAGAAAATGTCTGCTTTAGGGTTAGAGGGGTGTTTACACAATTGTTTTGCAAAACTGTTTTTTGTTTTGCTGCCAAAAGATTAACCTTTATTTATAAACTCCTCATCAGCCTTCAGAGTGCCAACAGCACCAGGCAAATCCCATCTCCTACTGTTTGAAATGGGCTCCTCAGTGACAGCTTTTTTCCTTGAAAATCAGATCCCAAAAGTAGGAAGCTCCCAATCACTCACCATTTCCTGAAATCTGGGCTGCAGCCATCTAAACAGTGACGCCCACAGTTCCAGGGAGTGACCACTGCAGGGGTTGTCACATGCCTTGTCTCATGCAGAAGTGATTCCAGCAATGTTCTTCCAGCTGAATCTCTCCCTCTCACCATAATTCAGGACTGGATTCTGGTGCCTACGTGTCCTCATCTTGGATGAGTCTTTGAGCAGCCTGGGATAATGGAAGGTGTCCCTGCCCAGGGCAGGAGGGTTGGAACAAGATGTTCTTCAAAGTTCCTTTCAACCCAAACCACTCTGGGATCCTATGAATTCTATACTATCCACTTAATAATGCCTTTTATCAGAATCCATGTCTTTTTGTCCTAGAGTTGGCATGGAGCGGGGTCTGTGTCCTCCCAGGAACAGGGAGATGTTCGGCATTTCCCCTCTGGGAACAGGCCCATTGACATAAAGATGCTGGTGGCAGGTTCTTCTTTACCAAGAATTGAGATGTTGCTCTCTCAGTAGTGACCCCAGTGAATACAAGCAGCTCTCAGTGAGCTGTGGTGGTGGATTTCCTGTAATTTGGAGCAGAAACTTCACTAAAACCTTGTGGTGGTGCCAGGAGGAAGTAGTGACTTAAGTCAGAGGAAACCGTGCTCATTCATTTTTAAGTTTTATGCGTCTGAGTAAGGAAAGCAGAATTAATTTTGGGTTTTGGTTTTGGGTTTTTTTTTATCCCCGTGCTTAGGCAAAGGCCAAGTTGTTCAGAACACAAAATACTCACCGGACAGTGGCAGAAATTTAAACCCATGAAATTCCAGTACCTGAAGGGAGCCTACAAGAAAGACGAAGAGGGGCTTTTTACAGGAACATGGAGTGACAGGACAAGGGGGAATGGCTTCCAACTGAAAGAGGGTGGGTTTGGGCCAAATGTTAGAAGGAAGTTCTTTGCTGTGAGGCCCTGGCACAGGCTGTCCAGAGAAGCTGTGGCTGCCCCTGGATCTCTGGAAGTGTCCAAGGCCAGTCTGGACAGGGCTTGGGGCAACCTGGAATAGTGGAAGGTGTTACTGCCATGGCAGGAGTTGGAATGAGATGATCGTGAAGGTCCCTTCCAGCCCAAACCATTCTGTGATTCTATGAACTAAACATCTCTGTGTTTCAGAGATGTGTTTCACATTCACTCTGTGATGTGCTGTTTGCTTCCTGTGTGAATTGGAACACTTTGATCCCTTTTCCTTGCTCCTAGGCAGCCACTGGTCAAACACAACCTCAGGAGTGACAGCAGCAACCACAGACACGTGGCTGGATGCTGCCAATTCGAGTGAGTACCCATATGAGTACCTGGATGAGGAGGATTATGGGCTCTATGGCCTCTGCACCAAAGAGGAGGTGCTGTCCTTCAGCAGGGTGTTCTTGCCATCATTTTACACTGTGATTTTCCTCATTGGAATGGCTGGGAATGCCCTCCTGTTTACTGTCCTCCTCATGTACATCAAGAAGAAAAAGAAGATGACTGAGCTGTATCTGCTGAACCTGGTGGTTTCAGACTTCTTCCTGCTACTGACCCTTCCTTTCTGGGCTCTGTACATTTCTCAGTGGGTCACCTGGGACATCTTGTGCCCATTCTTAAATGCCATGTACACTCTGAACTTCTACAGTGGCGTCTTCTTTGTGAGCTGCATGAGCCTGGACATGTATCTGCAGATAGTTCATGCTTGGTCTCCTCACAGCTCCACAGTGTGGAGGAATTCCATCCTCATCTTGCTGGTGATGTGGATCCTTTCCATAGCTCTCTCCATTCCTGATGGCCTTTTCACCCGCACAAGACAAATTCACAACAAAACCATCATGTGCACCCAGGATTATGGCCGGGAACACTTATTTTGGAAAGTTGTCTTTCGGGTGATTCAAAACATCCTGGGATTCCTTTTCCCCTTCCTCTTCATGACCTTCTGCTACTCCCGCATCGCGTGTGTGCTCAACACCGCCCAGATCCCTGGCTCCAGGAGAGCTCTCTGCTTAGTCCTTGCTCTGGTGGGGGTCTTCTTTGTGCTGTGGTGTCCTTACAACGTTGTGCTCATCCTCCACTCCCTGCAAGATGTTGGTGTGATCAGGAGCTGTGAAAGCAGTAGGAAACTGGACTATGCCCTGCAGATCACGGAGAGCTTGTCCTTTGTCCACTGCTGTCTCAACCCCTTGCTCTATGCTTTTGTGAAGAAACAGTTCAGGGCATATTTGTGGAAGATCCCTCAGGCCGTTTTCAGGAGAGGCGCTTTCTTTTCCATCCAGGACTCCCAGACGAGCCCATCTTGCAGCAGATATGCAGCTGAGATAGAAATGTTAAGCCTCACAAATGCATCATAAATATTTACAATATTTACATTATTTACATTATCTATGAGCCCTCTGTCCTGCCCATGATGGAATTGGTGTGTGAGCCCACAGCACTGTGTAACCAGATAGTTCATCCTAGCAACAACCTTGAGATGAAGACTTTCCATACTGGGATTGGAAAAGTACATGATTTATTATTTTATGCTTTTATATTATATTAAGGAATGCTGTACTAAAACTATACTAAACTATACTAAAGAATACAGAAAGGATACAGACAGAAGGCTAAAGGATACTAATGAAAAATTCGTGACTTTCTCCAGAGCCCTGACACAGGTGGATGGTGATCGATTATTAAGTAAAAACAATTCACATGAAACTAATAGAACATGCACCTGATGGTAAACAATGTCCAAACACATTCCAAAGCAGCAAAACACAGGAGAAGCAAATAAGATAATTATTGTTTTCATTTTTCTCTGAGGCTTCTCAGCTTCCCAGGAGAAGAATCCTGGGCAAGGAGATTTTTCCAGCAAATATGACAGTGACAGGGATGGCCTTGCTTCTCCTGGCTCTTACCATCTGCCAGATGATTTAAATGGGACAATCTTGTTTTCTACCAGGAGATACAACAGGAAGGACTGGACACCTTTAAGCTGAGTTGCTCTCTGTCATGATGAGCTGTGCCACGTGGATCTGCTGAGCAGGGAAATGTGACTCTCCAAGGGGCAGAGCCTTGGTTAGAGATCAGTTTGATCATCAGCTGATTTGAGGCAGTTTGAGCAGAGCAAAGTCCAGACCAGTGAGAAAGAGATAAAAAGGGGGCTCAGCAGAACAGTGGTGGAGGTGTTTGCCTTCCAAGATCTGGTTTGACGAGATAAAAAAGATCCATGGGTACCACCTGTAACATAAATATTGACTTTGAAACACAACAGAGTGAGAGCATGTCCTGAACAGAAGAGCACAGAGAGCTGATGGTCAATCCTTATTACCCCGTGCAGCTTAGAAGTTCAAGGCTGAGTTTGCTGAGTTTTATTTAAAGGCATTATTCACCCCAAATGCTCCTGAACCTTAAATGGTCCCTTTCCATCCTGAAAACCTATTAAGTCAGGAAGTTGCCTGGAGTTGTACAAATAAAATTATTAATTTAAGAGAAAGCACTCATCACATTTATTTTATTACTACATAAGGTTGCATGACTGAGAAGGGCTTTGAGTTGATCACTGCTGTTATTTTTCTTCCCGACACTGCTACAGTGTTTTTCCAAAATGGTAAGGTTGGGAGCTTTCCTTAAAAAAACAAAGCCAGAATAAATATTTAGCTGATGCTATGATGTGGCCTTCACTCCTCGGGTCAGGTCACTGGAGGGAACGTGGAAAGAGACAGCAGCTGGGAAGCTAAAAAGATGAAGATTGTAATACCAAACAGAGGAAGGCTCTTGGGACTGTGGAAGACTTACGATGGGATGCTCTAGGGAAGAGCAAAGGTGAGGAATGGAGGGGAGTTAATGTCACTCTCCATCCTGCACGAGGAGAGGCCCAAGCGCCAGTGGCTGGGACAGGCTGTGGTGGCAGTCTGGGTAGATCAGGGTGGCAGCACCCAAAGCAGCAGTGCCAGGTGGGATATGGGGTCCCTGGCATTGTCCCCAAACCCCATCTGGGACAGGTAACAGGGGAGTTTGAGAAGCAGAAGGGAAAGTGGGTGGAGCAGAAGTGCTGTGGTCCCCGTGGGCACTGCTCCCCAGCCGGGGGCTGGATGGAGCATCTGGAAACTCCGGACTCTTCTGGTGCCAAGCAAATGCAGTGGCTCAAGCTCTCCTCACTCGTGGGGCAGCTCAGCTGCTTTGCTTTGCACTCAGACAGAGCAGCAGCACTTGCACTGTTCAGTGGCAAAGCATTGTCCCAGCACTCCTGGGACACCATGTGCTGTGGAGAACACCAAAATGTCAGAGACTTTTCCTTCTCTTGGCTTTTGAGACCAAATCAGTTCAGCTGTGACCCCCTTCCCTCGGTCCTGTGCTCATTTCCAGTAGCATTTCCAGCATCCACTCTTGGTTTCATTTTTTCAGTGAGTGTCCATTGCCTGGTCTTAAAGGCAGAAATCGCAGAGTGGGATTCTCTGAACATTTTCCTTACAAAATCTGTGCTCCATACAGACTAGAGAAGGGAATTTGCTTCATGCCAAAACCCATCCCCCTAACACAGCATGGATACTCCAACAGGATTCCGACATACCTTCCACCTTAAAAATCTCTGTTCATCCAGGGACAAGTTCACCCCGGAGCAGAGCACTCGGCAGGGGCAAGGCAAACACAGCCAATGAGGACAGAGGCTGTCAGCTCTGTATCTGCCTATCAGCTGCTGGGTGAGGATAAAATGCACATTCCCAGCCCAACCTGCCTTTAATCCCAGCTCCTGGACAGGCACAGAACTCTCATGGTGCTCTGGGTGGTTCTCCTCTGTACCTTGGTGTCATCACTGCTCGGTGGGCTCTATGTCCTGGGAGTGTTTCGGAGACAGAGACCCAATGAGCCGCCCCTGGACAAAGGTACCATTCCCTGGCTGGGCTATCTGCTGGAATTCAGAAAGGACAGCTCAAAGTTTCTCAAAAGGATGCAGAGCAAACACGGGGATATTTTCACGGTGCTGATCGGTGGCTACTACTTCACCTTTGTGATGGATCCCTTCTCCTTTGGCACCATTGTGAAGGAATCGCGATCTAAACTGGACTTTAGGACTAGTGCAACTCAGCTGGTGGTGCAGGTTTTTGGCTACAAGCCCATCGAAGCCACTCATAACATAGTTCATACATCAAGCACAAAGCACCTGATGGGAGATGGCCTCACTGTCCTCACACAAGCCACCATGGAGAGCTTTCGGAAGCTGCTGCTTTTCAACCTGAGCTCAGGAGAGAAGAGAGCGTGGCAGGAGGAAAACCTCTTCCACTACTGCTACAACATTGTCTTCAGAGCTGGGTATCTGGCTCTGTATGGCACCGAGCCACCCCGAGGGGCAGGGAACAAGGAAAAAGCTGAAGAGCAGGATCGCCTCCACTCCAACCAGCTCTTCCAGGAGTTTCGTAAGTACGACCGCCTTTTCCCTGGCCTGGCCTTTGCTCTGCTGCCTCCCAAGGACAAAAGAGAGGCTGAGCGGCTGAAGAGACTCTTCTGGAACATGCTGTCTGTGAGGAAGGTCTGGCAGAAGGACAATATCAGTGGCTGGATAAGTGATCAAGAGAAACTTCTGGCAGAAAACGGTGTCCCCGAGTACATGCGGGACCGTTTCATGTTCATGCTCCTCTGGGCATCCCAAGGCAACACGGGCCCGACTGCCTTCTGGCTCCTCTTGCATCTGCTGAAGCATCCAGAGGCTCTGAAGGCTGTGAGAGATGAGGTGGATAAAGTCTTGAGGGAGAGTGGGCAGGAAGTAAAGGCAGGGAGCCCCCCAGTTACTGTCACTAGGGACATGCTGAACCAGACTCCTCTGCTGGACAGTGCTCTGGAGGAGACCCTGAGGCTGGTGGCAGCCCCAATGCTGGTCAGAGCTGTCCTCGAGGACACCTCCCTGAGGACAAGCAGTGGGACAGAGCTCACCCTCCGCAAGGGGGACAGGGTGGCTCTGTTCCCACACATCTCCTTGCAGATGAACCCAGAAATCCACGAGGAGCCTGACAAATTTAAGTACGACCGTTTTGTAAACCCAGATGGCACCAGGAAAGATTTCTACAGAAACGGGAAGAAGCTGAAATTTGTCAGCATGCCTTGGGGAGCAGGAGTTTCCACCTGTCCCGGGCGCTTCTTTGCTAGTGCTGAAATGAAATTGTTTGTGTTCTTGATGCTGAGTCACTTTGACCTGGAGCTGGTCAATGAGGAGGAGGAGATCCCAGCCATAGACATCAGCCGCTGGGGATTCGGGACAATGCAGCCCGTCCGCGACGTTCGGTTCAGATACCGGCCATGCTTCTAACCAGGGGAGTCCTGTGGTGTTGTTTGTTCTGGTGTCACCTATGGGACAAATTGTCTGATCCCGTGGTTATCAGATCTGTGCAGTGTCAGCGCTGATATGATCTTGTTTGCTTAATGTTTGTCATGGCTTTTGTTGTTACCTCCTCCTCGTGCGCCATCCCAGGGGCCATCAGCCCATTGAAAGCCAGGAGGAGCACAGGGTCGGATGGGCAAGTGGGAACTCAAATTCAGGGCTTCCAAGGAACAAGGGTTTTGTCCAGGTTCCTCCCAGGGCTGTGCCAGCAGAGCATCTGCCCCACGGTCCCAGCATGACTCCCGTGGAGATGTGTCATCAGGAACAGCTCTCTGGATCACCACCTGGGATAAGGGGGGTTGTGTCTATGGGCAGGTGCCTATGCTGTGTAGGAGAAGAGCATTTTGTGATTGTTCAGGACTTTAAATAATAATGTGTTTGGGGGAGGAACCAAAGGGGGATAAAGGAGAGATTTGGGTGATTTAGGGAGGAAAATTGAGATGTAAGGGGATGAAATGGGCTGGTTGGATGCAGATAGATGACTAGTCCATAGACTGGTCACACCCTGCACTTGATAATTTATTTTCCACATGAAGTATCATTAGCAGAATGGCATTAGCTTGTGGTGAACCCCTGAAAGGTCAGAGAGCAGCAAATATCCTCTCCAGAGATGTAAGAATTTCCTTGGGGAAATTTTATCTTGTTTGTGGTTCCCTTCTTGTATCTGATGAGGCTTCCAAAGAGAGCAACCTCAGTCCCTTATGGGTTACAGCCACTGTGATCTTATAGCCCTCAAACATATTTTTTATCTGCTGGATCAGTGCAGGATAAAACTTTGCTCTACAAGCTCTGCTTTGCTTTATTTCCCTTCAACAATTAGGACTCTCACCACTTCCTTTCAGAAGTTAAACCCAAACCTCTCCTGTGTAGAGAACAGTGGATTGATTTTAATGCTGACACTAACCTTGAACTTTGGAGATTATTTGTGGTCGAGGAATGAAACTCAAACATTTTCACACGTGTCCAAACATCAGATCCAGATTCTGCTTTGTCCTGCAAAGGCCAGGGTGATGTTGTAACTGCATGTCAAGGGCAAACTATCCCAGCCTGCCAGACTGGTCATTAGCCCTGACCTCATGATGGTGGTGAAAATTCAGGCAGAAACTATCAAGCAGTTGTGGCAGGACCAAGGAAAACAAAAACTACCTGTAAGGCTTGACTGAGACAGCTGATGTTTCCATTAGCAATTCCAGCACCTTTTGACTCCTTCCATGCTCCAGCTACAGCTCTCACCTATTTTTTTGTCATCCATGGGTTCACTCCTCTGAAGCCCTTCTCACATTCTGGTCAGTGCAAGCTCCAAATCATGCCCAGGAATGCTCTGGGGTAGCTGGGCAGCTCAGAGCCATCATCACATCCTGAGCAGGTGAAGTCCTCCTTCCAAAGCTCTAGGAAAAGGATTTTTCACGTGGATGTCTTGCATGGAAGTGGTTCCCAGCTAGCAGACAGTGTACACAGGTTATCACAAAGAGCCCAGGTCAGAGCTGAGGGGTGAGGGATGTGTGCTGCACAAATGTGGATTGGGATTGGGGAAGGGATGTAAAAGTAATAACAATGATTCAGCAGAAAAGTCTGGCTTTATTTGCTCGTCAGAATGGTTTATTTAACCAAACAGTGTTGAGTCTATAAAAGAGCTCAGACATGCCCAAATGCATGCAGTTGTGAGAAGCAAAAGAGAAAATAATTCATATATGGAAGAGCATGAAAGCTCCAAATGAGTTAATCTATAATTATGTTTTTTTATGTTTAGATAGGTTTTTCCTTGGCACTGACCTTTCCATCCCAAAGTGCACCAGCAAGAGCAAAGAACCAGCCTGTGCCAACAAAAACCTGACTGGATTTGTGAGAGAAGTTAAATTGGACAGGATCCAGAGTCTTGAAAGGTTTCCTGGGGGGGCAGCCCTCATTGCAGTGTCTGTCTCTGCTCTCCTCCCAGAGAACTGAGCACAGACTCTGGCCCCAAGCCCTTGGGTTTCTCTCCTCTAGCACACAGTGCAGACAATATCACTTCAACATTCCAAATTTTACAGTCTATTGAGTTGGTGCCTGCTCTCCACAGCACAGGGAAAGCTCCTCTGCTCTCAGTCGTAATTCCTGCTCTGTATGCTCAGCAGGATAAGGAGTCATGATGTTCCACCTTTCAGGTTTGGAACAATATGGGTTAAACTTGTTGGGAAAGAGCATCCCTGGATAAACAGCCTCACTTTTAGTATTCACCTGTGATGTATTAGGAACTGTTTTCTTGTTCACCTGCATCTAAACACAGCCAGACACAGCTCTGAGAAAGCCTCTTACTGCTGCTCATATGGGAAATGGAGGGATACATCAATCACTGCAGAGAAACTCAAAGGAACACTGAAGTTATGAGTACAAACCAATGACACAGCCAACACCATCCTTTGCAGAGGAAAGCAGGGTTTGAAGGTCAAAGAGGAACGTGACATTTCAGGATTTTTAAAAATAATTAAAACACTCAGCCTTTGCCAGGGACACTCTGCCACATCTCCAGGTGGATGTGCCTCTGCTCCCCAGGGAAGAGCATCTCATCTTCAAAGTGGCAAAGTCTCTTAGTGGTACAAAATCTGCACGTTACAAGGTCACTGCTGGGTTTGCTGCCTTCACTGCCCAGTGTCCCAGTTCCCCCCACGAGTCACACATACACAGAAACAGCCCGTGGCAGGCAGGACACACGGACAAAACGCAGTGTGTTGGGCAGAGAGCAGCTTGGCAGGAGGGTTTGGTACCGAACACTCGGTGCAGGAGGGCACAGGGAGGTGATTGCCATCTGTCACCACATCCACGTCACTGTGCAATCATGAGGCCGTACTTGGAGCACAGCAGGCCCCTCTTCTTCTCCCGTTCCGTGAGGAAATTCCTCAGTTTGGTGGTGGGGAAGGTGACCAGTGCCTGCTGCCTGTTGTCCAGACCTGTCTCCTGGAGCCACGGGCTCTGCAGGCACTCGGAGGCTGAGGGCCTTCCCCTAGGACAGACAAAGGTGAGGGGTCAGTCAGGGATCCCCGCTGCCTGGGGAGGCTCCTTGCATGTGGAGAGAGGGGGAAACACCCAGGATGTGCCCCAGCTGTGCTGCTGGGGGCACAGCCAGCCTCTTACCAGGGGTTTGCACACAGAGTGCTCTGGAGGAAGGACACTGCTCCCCCGGAGAGACCCGCATAGCACCGCGTCAGCTTCAGCTTTCCCTTCCTGGCTGTCCTCAGGAACTCACAGGGTACATCCGAGCTGATGGGGTAGTTGGCACTCAGCCTGCCCCAGGAGAAGAGAATTGAAAACATGAAGCTGCCTCCAGCTCTGGGGCTCCCAGCATGAGGAGGGTGTGGAGCTGTTGGAGCGAGGCCAGGGGAGGCCACCGAGGTTAGCAGAGGGATGGGGCACCTCTCCTTTGGGGAAAAACTGAGAGAATTGGGATTGTTCATCCTGGACAAGGCTTCAGGGAGACCTTAGAGCCCATTCCAGTGCCTAAAGAGGCGCCAAGAGAGCCTCCAAGATGGACTTTGGATAAGGGCTTGTAGTGGCAGGACAAGGATGAACAGTTTTAAATTAAAAAAGAACTATTATATTAGATATTGGGAAGAAATTCTTCCCTGTGAGGGCATTGAGGCCCTGGCATGGGTTGCCCATCCATCCCCTCCATCTTTCCATGGTATTGCCAAAGGAGGGGCACAGCTGAGATTAACTCTATGAAACTGTGATTTTAAAGCCAGTAACAGCCCAGGGAGCAATCAACTGACCCACATGATGAAGGCTGTGATTTAAAATCTGAAACTGTGATTTTAAAGCCAGTAACAGCCCAGGGAGCAATCAATGGACTCACATGATGAAGGCTGTGATTCCGACGGACCAAATATCAGTCTGGGGAAGGGCTCCTTGCTCTGTCAGCAGCTCAGGAGCTGGAAAAGTAAACTTGTGTGAGGCAAGGATCTCTCCAATGTACTGAGAGCAGCGCAAAGGCAGTGGATACTTTTAGGATTTGCTGCCTTCCCAAGAGGAGAGGCAGCTCCCAGGACAGGGAGCTGGTTGAGGAGCTTCCACATGGATGCTGATTGCAGTGAAACCATGAGAGCCTCTGGGCAGATGGCAGCAGTGCTTTATCCCTGGATAAATGGACACATGGGTGCCAGCCAGAGTGGCATTGCTGTGAGCTCTGTCCCCTGTGGTCTGCAGTGGGACAGCTGTCACCACTCACTGCTCCCACAAACTCACACTGGCACTGGAGAGCAGCACCTGGAAGGATTTTCCTGCTGGGACCTGCTGCCTTGACCAATGTTTGTGTCTTTCTGTTTATCACAGATTGCAGATAAGCCCCAAGTCGCTGTGACCGAGCTCTACTCACCCATGGTCTCCACATAATCCGAGCATTTGTCCATGGTAATAAATTTGTCTGGTGTGTAGAACTGTGCGTTGCCAAAATCCAGGAGTTTCAGCAGGTTGGGCTCGGTGATGATCATGTTCTCAGACCTGAGGTCCAGGTGCAGGATGTTGTGTGCATGGAGGTACTCAGTGGCACTGAGGATCTGCCACAGGTAGTCTCGGACCTCCACCTCTGAGTACGATGGCCTGGTGAGAGAAGGGGGATAGAAAACACAGGTGTCCTGTCTGCATGCCCAAAAATGCCTTTCTACACCCACTATCACCCTCCTCTGGGTGTCTGATCCCATCAGACCCTTGAGAGTCAAGAAGAAACAACTCTAGTTTAGCAAATCAGCTCTGTGTGGAGAGGCTGGTCCATCCTGTGAATCATGTTTACAGATGCAACAATAGGTTGTTGTAGAGCTGAAAGAGAGAAAGCAGATTTGATGCCCACAATTCCTTCTTTTTTAACCACAGGATTTCAGCAGATCCATTTTCTGTCACTGTGAGAAATGATGAATCTTCCTGACCCACAATGACCTCCATGTCATGGTGTTGGGGTTAACAGGTGTTGGTGTAAGGAAACCATTCATGTATCACATGATGGGAGAGAGTGATGCCTCAGGTTTGAGCTTTTATATTTTCAGATTCTGTGCTGCTTTAGTGTGTGGGGCTGAGCTTCACATCAGGGCATGGTGAGCTCTGTGCACAGAGCAGGGAGACAAAACAATTCCTGCTCCAGCTGGGCACCAAGGACAAATGATCCAAATCTCAGCCCAGGAGCACAAACCCCGTGGGCTGGAGAGAGAAAAACAAGCAGGATGGGAGTGCAGGGGCTGAGCTGGAATTGGACACTGAACTGCAATGTGCACATGGAGCAGAGCTGATCCCAGGGAGAGACCCCGGGAGCGCTCGTGCATTTTGGGACCATTTGGGTTCATCTTGGGTGCAGCCCTGGCTGGGCTCTTGTGCTGCCCAAGGTGGAGCCATGGAGGAGATCCTTTGAATCAATCCCTGCTTTATTCTTTAGCTCTGTCTAGCCTCTCTTCTAGGTCAGCCTGCACAAGACATCAATAGAGTTTCATATCAACCACTGTACACTTTGTCCAACATCTCAGCTGGGTGGTCCTGAGTTGTCCTGCTGTAGAAAACTCAAGTAATTTTTTTACCTCAGAAGAAGACACAGAACAAACACTTTACAAATCCTGTGTGCAATGACAGCACACTGGAATAGGTGGAGAGGGATGATCCAGTTTGTCAGGAGAAAGCAATAGGTGTCTTCCTCTGTCACATTCATATTTCTGAAAAATCCCTTTGCCCAAGATTTTTCTCCTAGGAAGGTGAGAAGCCTCAAAGAAAAAGGAAAACAATTTTATCTCATTTTCTTCTCCTGTGTTTTGCTCCTTTGGAATGTGTTTGGAGATTGTTTACCAGCAGGTGGTTGTTTCATTACTTTCTGCTGTGGGTGTTTTTACTCATTAGCCAATCAGGGCCAAGCTGTGTCAGGACTGGAAAGAGTCACGAGTTTTCATTATTATCTTTTTAGCCTTCTGTAAGTATCCTTTCTGTATTCTTTAGTATAGTTTAGTTTAATATTCTTTAATATAATATAGTATCATAACATGATAAATTAGCCTTCTGAGAACGTGAAGTCAGGTTCATCATTCCTTCCTCACACGGGGCACCCCACAAATACAATCTCCTCCCAACAGCAGCCCTGACTGGGAAGCTTTTCCCTCGTGTTCTTACCGCAAGGCCAGGGAGTGGAGCAGCTCTGGCCCCACACACATCTCCTGGATCAGCACCAGGTGCCGGGGGCTGACGTAGGCACCCTTCAGCTGGGCTATGTTGGTGTGGTGGAGCTTCCTCAGCACCTGGTACTCCAGCAGCACAGCCTGCTTGTCCTCCTGCCAGTAAGGGATGATTTTAGCGGCCAAAGTCTTGCCGCTCACCTTCTCCCGGCACTGCCGGACGATGCTGAATCTTCCCCTGGTTCAAAGGAACACAAAGGCACGTTAAGCTGCTCTCCCGTTCTTTAAAACCTCCAGGATCCCATGCTGTGTTTTTCATCTGTGCCTGGTGGGGAGTTATTGCATCTACTGTCACAGTTTGCACGTCCTCCTGTGTCTTCAAACTGTAAAGTCACTTTAAATTACAGCAGTGAGAGCTTAACTCCTCTGGAGAGAGAGAGCAAGAGAACTACCCCTGCTGGCAACAGAAATCACTGTCTCTCTTCCAGGCAAGAGCTCCCTCCTGGTGGGGAGTTATTCCATCTACTGTCACAGTTTGCACATCCTCCTGTGTCTTTAAACTGTACAGTTTAAAGGCAGAGAAAGAAAGTTGAACCCCAGCACCCTGACTGCAGTGGAGTCTGCAAAGGTTGGTGCAGCAAGGACAAGAAACTTTGTTAGCCCTGGGCTCATTTAATGATAAGTTAAGTGGCTGCCCTCCTGCCCAGCACATTTGTTGTGACAGGACAAGGGGGGATGGTATTAAACTAAAAAAGGGTTGATTTAGACCAGATATGAGGAAGAAGTTATTTTTTACAGTAAGGGTGGTAAAACAACCTTTCCTTGAGCACTTCCAGGGATCCAGGGGCAGCCACAGCTTCCCTGGACAGCCTGTGCCAGAGCCTCCCCACCTTCACAGTGACCAATTTTTTCCTAATATCTAATTTAAATTTACTCTCTTTCACTTTGAAGCCATCCCCTTGTCCTGTCCCTAAATCCCCTTACAGAAAATCCCTCTCCATCTTTCTTGTAGGCTCCCTTCAGGTACTGGAAGGTGCAATGAGGTCACCCTGAAGTTTCTCTTCTCCAGGCTGAACAACCCCGATTTTCTCAGCCTTTCTTTGTAGGAGAGCTGCTCCATCACATGTGGGATTTCCCTCTGGGTCATTAAGAACTCAGCTGGGTTCTCTACCTTTTGATCTCGGTTTGGAAGGCGTAGGTCTGGTAGGTTGGGAAGGGCTCAGGAGGTGAGATCATTTCACTCTCTTCCTCTGGGGCAGCTGATGGGAACTCCTGCGTGGCAGCACGAGGCTCTGTGGGAGAAAGGGACAGGCTTTACACGGGAACACAGCTCTGTGTGCAAACTGGAGCCTCTCAGAGTCTCCCCTGCCATCTGTGAACAACGACAAGCAGAGCTTTCCCCAGGTGACTCTGCCTTCCAGCTGTGGCACCCACTGCTGTTGGAATGCAGCAGATTCTGCTCTGCCCACCCCAAAATTCCCTGGTGTGGCCACTGCAGACAGAATGAGATGGATTCTATGTCGTGTGCTATGGTACCAAACATCTTAGCCACTGTTTCTTATTTTCTCACACAGCAAATCCTCAAGATATGGTAAAAACTGTCAAGAAATTAGAAACTCTAATTAGAAATTAGAAACAATTAGAAAAATTGTGGTGGGACATTTCAGAGCAGCAGCTGGAATTTGTTGCTCTGGTTGTGGCGTGTGGTCGTGTCCAAACACCCCCTGAAATACTAAAGCTTGGGAAAGCTGAGATATGATAAGAAATCCTGAGAAAAAGAAAAGCAGAGGACTTGGGGTGAGTTAAAAATATCTCTGTGAACCGATTTTTACAGAGCAACCCTCTCCATTGGGAGGAAATTCCAGCTAGACCATCCTTCTGTTTCTTTACAGAAAGGACATTTCCTTTGCTACGAGGATATGTTTGCTGTGGGGCCATGGATCTCTTATTTTTAAAGCACTTCCAGGGATCCAGGGGCAGCCACAGCTTCCCTGGACAGCCTGTGCCAGAGCCTCCCCACCTTCACAGTGACCAATTTTTTCCTAATATCTAATTTAAATTTACTCTCTTTCACTTTGAAGCCATCCCCTTGTCCTGTCCCTAAATCCCCTTACAGAAACATGTGTGCAGTACAAAGTAGTCAAACAGGTGACAGAAAGAGTAAATCAAGATTCCTGTACTTCAGAGACAAAATACAGCTGGAAAATTCACCACAGAAGGACAATAATTCCCAATGGAAGACTCCAGAATAGACAAGTTAACTACTGAATTTAGGATTTAGTCTGTAATGTAAGCAAGTCCAGAGTTTTCACCAGTGCAAGATCTATAGCAGTAGGTAAATGCCTCCAGTAAAACATTTTTTGTACAAGACCCATTTTGTCATAATCTCAAATCAAAACTGTGCCTTCAACAGGTAATCTACAGCTCCCAGGTTTTTATTTTATTACTAAATTTAACTTATTTTAATAAATACTCTATATTTATTATTTTTATAATAAAGTTTATATTTTATAATATTAAATTTTAGTTAATATTAAAGTTTTGTTTAATACAGTTACACATTGTTTATATTTACATGATGTTGCTATCTTATTGAGGTTTTTAATATGTTTATACCTATTCCCCTGTGTCCAGAACCAGAAAATAATTAGAAATTAATTTAATTTTAGATGCAAAAGCCCCGAACAACCCTGAGCCAAGTGGAATTGACCTTGATTCACTTGCTCTTGACTTCTGGGTCCACATCTAAAAAGATGCAGTGGGTTTGATGCAGGAAAATCCCGAAGTTTTCTCGGTGTTTGGTCTTACCCATCTGATCCTTGGCAGCGATTGTGACTTTGGCAGAGGGGTCGCTGTAGGGGCCCATCCCTGCCCTGCTGCTGCAGGCTGTCCTGAAGCTGTAGACGAAGCCCTGGGGGAGATTTCTGGCATAGTAGCAGCAGTCAGTGATGTCAGAAGCAAGAGTTGTCCACTCCCCACCTGAACCAAGGGCAGAGAGAAAAGAGATCAGGACTCATTTTAAGATGGTCACAATGGCTTGGAGGTTTTTTGAGATTTGGGATTTTGTTGTGGAGTTTTTTTGCTGGTTTTTTCCTGTTTTTTTTTTCCCCACCAGCTTTATTTATGTGCTGGGAATGTGGACAAACCAACTTACCATGGCCAGCTTTGGGGCTGTACCTGTGTCATTCTTCTCTAAAATCAGCTGGTTCATATCTGATAATTCCAAATTGTGCCAATATTGTTCCAGAGGAGTGGTGAAATTTTCCTGTATTTTTTCTCTTTATCTAACTCATGCCACCAAACTCTGGTGGAAATATACATCAAGAACTCCAAACCAAAGATAAATATTTTTTTTTTCCTGTTGGCCCTGTCATGAATCCAGTTGAGACCATGAGGTGTAGGATTCCTGGACAGAACCATCCACTAACACCACGCCAGTGTTTGTTTTTAGTTCAAACCCAGTGTTTGACACATGGGGGTTTTACTCAGCTTTCAAGACACTCAGGTGATTTCTCAGGGAACTGGAATTCTAAGTGCATTCTGGACTCATTATTCATGGGACTGAGTTAGGAAGGAGAAAATCCCCAGCAAACATTTAATCAGCCTTCCTCCCACATGATGCTGTGCCCCCTGTTTTGCTGCTGTGCTCAAGGCTGTACCCAACTCCCTGAAACTGCCTGAGATTAAACCATCCTTTCATTCAGATAAAATCTGGCAAAGAGCCTCAAACTATTGCATAAGCAGAAATTCCCCACCTAAATCCAAGGTATCAGTGATTTTACAGGGTGATGGTTGAACTGGGGGCTGTTTGTGCAAGAAGGAGTAGATACAGCTTAGAAATAGAGAAAAATATGTGCAGAAGCAGCATAGAGAAGTCAGTTTTCAAATAATGGATAAACCAAGGAATTTATTCCTGATTACCTTAATCCTCCTGTGTTCAGGAGAGCAGGATTTTACAAGTTCCTGACAAATACACAGAAAACTGGAAAATTGTAGATGCTGCTCCCCATTTTCCTTCCTAATTGGAAGAACTTGTGTCTGTATCCTCCCCAAAATCTCTCCTACAGTTTTGTCAAGATGAATAATGATAAAGAAAGTGGTGTTGGAGGGAAAGTGATTCACACCAGCTCCAGAGGGAAAGGGCAGAAAGCTGCTGCCCATGCTAATCCAGAAGGGAGAGTTTGTGTGTTTGTTTGTTTGTTTGTTTGGAGAATTAAATGAAGGAACATGGAGCAGCTGAATCCAGGCTGTGTTTGTGTGGCTGCAGCAGGAATTGCTATCAGACACCACACTGATAATAAAAACAGCAAATCCATCCCCAGAGAGACAGAACAGCCTTGGGGATTTGATACAAAACTTTTGTAACTAAACAGGAAAACATCCGCTTTTGACAAGGGCAGATAGTGACAGGATGAGTGGGAAGGGCTTTAAACTGTGAGAGACTTAGATGAGATGTCAGATGTCTCTGAATTTATTATTCAGAGGGTGCTGAGGCCCTGGCACAGGTGCCCAGAGAAGCTGTGGCTGCCCCTGGATCCCTGGAAGTGTCCAAGGCCAGGCTGGACAGGGCTTGGAGCACCCTGGGATAGTGGAAGGTGTCCCTGCTCATGGCAGGAGGGCTGGAATTAATGGTTTTTAAGCCTTCCAACCCAAACCATTCCATGACTAAATGATCCACTGACTTTCATCAGCCCCTGGACCAAGCCTCAAAAGAGAATATCAAAGGGTTAATACAGTTTTGTCAAACTTTCGTTATCTTGTCCTGGCTCTTTGCCCTAAGCTTCCTCCACAGTCAATGGGAAAAGGAAGCACAGCAGTTCAGCAGTGGATAAATTGCCTGTTGACAAATCATCTTTCTCCAAGACTGTACAGAAAACCTGAGCCTGGGATGATGTTGTTTCATTAGTGTCTAATTTTGTCAGATTACTCAGAGCTGCATGTCAGACCAGGCATTTTCTCCTGTAGCTGCTCACTTTTTGGTTGTAGCTTCCACACAGCCTTGTCTGATTCTCACTTTAGCAAAGCCTTGGTATGAATATGCAAATTCCAGGTTGATTTAACATAGCACAACCCCTAACTTTTCGATGGTTAAATGATAGCTGTATGAATCCCATTCCTAACTCTAAACTGGGGAGTTAAATCAGGCTGTTTCTGAATAACAATAAAATATCCAGCTGGTGAAGAGATCATACAAACCAAGATGTTCCTTGCAAAGCATAAGGACAGCACTTTACCTTCAGTCTTGCACTGGACAGTGTAGTGGACAGGGGTGTTGGTTTCTACAGGTTTCCAAACCACCTGCACTCCATCCTTGTAGACCTCCACGATGTCAGGGGGTGGAGGGCTGGGAGGAACCTCTGTGGAGAGGAGGCACAAACCCCAAGAGTGTTAACAGCAGCACTGCTGTGATACAAAACTCTACACCCAGCATGTTTCAGCTGCAGATATTATTTATATATATATAAAACATATATATATATATGTTTTTTATGTATACATATATATACACACAGCTAGTGGAACAGCAATTTTACCACTGTGGATGCAACAGCCCGGTCAGAAAGTGAGAAAATGGGCTTTGTTTTCTCACAGTGGACTTGTGAGACTTTTTAGGGAGTTGTAGAGAAACGATGATAACTTGTTGGTATAAACAACCTGCAGGTGGTGTTTTCCTACTCTGTTTTTCTGTTCTTCTCAATGACTGTTTGTGAGAAAGATGTTTTTGTTAATTAGTCAATCAAGTAGAATGTGTTGAATCTGTCTATAAAAAAGAGGATTTTCCTATTAAACTTCCCTTCTCCTGCAAAGCAGCCTTTGAGTGAATTTGTGTAATTTCTGCTCAACGGTGACATACCATCCCTAATTTAAACTTAGTACTAAGATTTTGTCTCGGAGTGGCTCATAATCCAGGAGAGAAAATAAAAAGTGAAGAAGAGGGAATGAACCCTGCACAGGCTGTGGACCATAGCAAGGGAGAGATCTTCCTCTGCACCTATGTGGAGAAATCTCACCTCAGAGGTAATGATAGGTTACATTTTTGGGGCCAGAAATACTTAAATGCCTATTTCTGTTGCTACTCCTTCTCTCACCTGCTTTTCTTATGACACAAGAGGTGGATGCTGAGCCCAGAGAGTTTGTGGCCACACAGGTGTAAATACCAAAATCCTCATCATTAACAGAGAGAATCGTTAACAGCTGGAAGTGTTTGAGCGTGGATGAGATGAGGATCCGGCTGCTGCTCTGCACAGGTATCCCATCTGGAAAGCAGGAGGTGGGAGAGATAAGTACCCTGCAAATTGACACCAAGGTGTTTCAAGCTCTCCCTGCAGGCCTGTGCAGGGGCTCAGGCTCTCTCTGGAGGGGTGGCAGTGTCACCTCTGAACCAGCTGACGTGCAGGGAGGAGTGAGCTGCCGTGCGGCACGAGAGCGTCGCGCACTGTCCGGCGGCCGCAGCCTGGTCCGCGAGCTCCTCGACGAACGACGGGGCTGCACAGAGGAGGGAAAGTGGGGATTCAGGGTGGCCTGGAGAGATTTGTGGGAGACAAATCCCTGCAGGACGTCAGAAAGCATTTTTAATGGGGTGAAGAAGCTTTCTGGTTCATGGCATGCCGTTCCTTTGAGCACCGTTTGGAGAATCCCCCGGGCACAGAGCACACGGGTGAAGGAACCCTGTTCACCCATGGATCATCTGTTCCTCCAGATGGATCTTGGAAAATCCATGGGGAATATCTGTACTGCCCAGCCCTGGTACAGCTAAAGCAGCAGAACAGCTCAGAGCAGAGAGAGACCCTGTCACAGCCAGGGTTTTCCTCTGGTCAAACCTAAATGTGGGAGCAAAACCGAATTATGGAATTTCAAGGACGAGGGGATCAAATAGGACAAGAGGAAATGGTCTCCAGTTGCCCCAAGGGAGGTTTAGTTTGGATATTAGGAAAAATATCTTCATGGAAAATGTTGTCAAGGACTGGAGGAAGATGCCCAGGGAGTCACCATCACTGGAGGGATTTAACAGATGTGTTGGCACTTGGGGGTTTAGTGGTGGCCTTGGCAGTGCTGGGGTAATGGTTGGACTCAGTAAACTTAAAGGTCTTTGCCAACTAAATGATTCTGTGATCAAGACAACACAAGAAGAGAGAAAGAGACATGAAAGATGGATATTGAAGAAGAAAAATCCCTATAGAGCATCACATCTGCTCCTATCTCCATGGGAAAGGGGGAACTCAGGTTTTCTTCTGTGTTTCTCCAGGGGTTTTCTCCACAGTGGCCAGGGGGCTACCAGCCTCCCACACTGCCCTTCCCAGTGTCTGGCCTCTGCTGAATGCTGGGATAGTAACATGAAAATGCTTCTGATGGAGCCAAGGGGAAACTTGCCAGGGAAAAAGCAATTATTTCCTGAATCACCCTCTGAGGTGAACCAATAACTCCTGCCACAGCAATACCTTTCTCCTTTGGGATGAGGCTTGGTAGCTTGAATGAAGGGAGTGCTGATTTCCTCTTCAGAGATCCTTCAGCCCCTATTAGCAGCTCCTTTTCTGCTGCCTCACTTCCCAGCTCACCAAACTCTGCTGTGAGAAAGGATGAGAAGTCATTCAAGGCCATCCTTCTCCCCGTGGCACCTATTTGCAGTGACAGTTCTGCCTTCACACATAAATAGTCACAGGTTCCCTTATTAACCAGCCTTTGATTAACAGGGAAGTCTGTGACAGCTGCTGCAAACAGAACAGTGTCCTGGAAGAACAGGGAATATCCAGGGATGGCAGAGAAGAAAGGACACATCCCCATGTCCAGTAACCAGGGTGACTTCAACTTCTCCCAGTCACTTTAACCTGAGAGATTTGCCACGGTCAGATGACAACTGCAGCAAGGAAAGCATCACCCAGCCCTGGTCTGCTTCTGTGCAACCTCCAACAGGGGATTTGAGCCCCTTCCATCAGCGGATTAACCCAGCTGGCTCTGCACTGAAGCCAGCCAGTAGCAGAGACCTGATGGTGGAGGCTGCTGAATTCAGAACCTGCCACGGCCAGATTTGCAATTCCAGTCTAATCACAGCTTCAAACATGCTGGGGAAAAAGAAAAGGGCAGCTGTAGCAGAGCCCAGTTATGGCAGCAAATCTGTGAAGGAACACAAGGAAATAATTACCTTCCTCTGGCTCAGGAGATGTCTTTCCTTTTAGGATTCTTGAAATGTGGGCAACAGAAGCTTTTACTTTCTTCTTCAGACTCTGCTCCACTGACTGCTCCACTGAATGAGACCTTGCATATGGTTTAAAGAGTCCAGCCTTAGTGTGGAAAGAGCTTTTCTGCTTCCCACTGGAGTCCTTTTGGGAGCTATACATTTCTTTGTGGCTCTCTGCCCCTTTCCCCATGGCTAATAAGTTAGCTGCCTTTGAATCCTCGGATATTTCCAAACGGTTCTTCCTGTTCTTGTCTTCCTGTTCCCTGATGCACAGTCTTTTATCCTTATGGAGATGTCCTGCAGGAGGGGACCTTGCCCTTTCACCAAGGAACATAAACCGTCTAGGAACTGGTTTGGGTGAAGGCTTCTTATAGCTCAGAAACTCAAATGGGAAATAGACAATGTCGTACAAATCCGAGAAATTCAAGTAGGCAGGCTCCACTTCCGAGATGTCAAATTTTTGGGGGCCACTGCCAAGACTGGGTGTTTCATCTGACAGGTCTTTGATTTTCACCAAAGAAACCTCTGGGTGTTTGCCAGTGTCCTTGATCACTGGCACGTGGATGGGTCTTCTTGCAGTGTCCAAGCTCTCTGTGGAGGAAACGCTCTCTGGGCTGGAAGGGGAGGTCTCAAATGCCAAGTCCTCCAGGTGCTCACATTCATGAGGAACTGTCTGTGCTCCCTGCTCTTCCAGGTCTCCTGGCTCCTCGCTCACAGCAAGGTAGGGTTCTGCAAGGTCATCCTGCTCAGTGACTTCTCCTCTTCCACCCTGTTGGACAGAAGGGAAGGACGTGTCCACGTGTGCTTGGCTGTCTTTGTAGAACATCTCTCTGCGAGGAGAAATGTGCCTGCTGCTTCCCTTCTCTCCAGAAACTGACTCTGCCCAAACATTCATCTCCTCAGAGAGGGAAACCATCTCATCCACCAAGCCCTCCAGCACAGCAGACTCCTCGTCACTGTAAAAAGAAGATCTGTGGTGTGACAGCTCCTGACCATGATGATCCCTGTGGAGCAGCGGTGGGGCAGCTTTTCCAGCATCACATCTTCCACTTTCCAAGGCAATGCCGCCACCCTCACCATAACCCTCTGGATATTCCTCATATGCCAGTTCATAGGCTGAAGCTGGAGCAACTTCTGGTTGTGAAGCAGTTAATGCACCTGAACTGCCACTCTCCAGACCATCTGAAATCCCATGCTCAAGCACCCCATGTCCAGCCCTGGGGAGAGGAGCAGCCCCAGCTTGTCCAGCTGCTCGGCTTCCACTTGCTGCCACAACAGATCTCATCTCCCTGTGAACTGACACCTCTGGATGTTGTTGATTTTCACCCTCCCAGACCTGAGGGAGGACAGTGCTTTGGGAGGACGCAGCCCTGGCTGGGTGTCTGCTCTCCAGAGCAGCAGGCTCTGAGCCATGGCCTTCAGGAACCTTCTGGGGTTCAGCTCCTTCATGGGCAAAACTGGAAACAACCCCTGTGACAGCTGAGCTTTTACTCCTCAGAGCAGCAAGTTTCTCCTTGCTGAGAGCCTGCTGTGCTCCATCAGAGACCAGAGCTGGCACTGATCCTGGCAGTGGGATTTTGGGAACAGCGAGCTGCTCTCCCTTCAGGACAGCTGATGCTGTGTCCAGATGAACAGGAGCCTTCTTGTGTGCTTGGCTTTCATCACCATGGGCTGATGGTGGAGTGATTCCTGTAACAGCTGCTTCTGCATCTTCCAGGACAGCAGATCTCACGTCTTTATGGGTCTTCAGCTTCTGAGGAGCACCTTCACCAGCTGTGAGGGTACCTGGCTGTTTGCCCAGCGTGACAGTAGCTGCTGGAACACTTTTCCTAGGAATTTCCTCACTTTTGTCTTTACATACTGGAAGTGAATCAGTTTCTGTTTGTTCTGGAGCAGCAGAGCTTTCATGCTCCATGAGCTCAGATTCAGCAGTGCCGTGAGCAGAAGTCTTTTCATCTGAATGTTTCTGCCTTTTGTCTTTCCAAGGTGGGGCTGGGGCTGTCCTTTTGACAAGCAAGCTTCCACCTGTTAGGTCGGGGTGGGTGTCAGTGGGAGCAGACTCCTGGGGCAGACACACCCCTCCCTTACTCGGAGGAGATGACTTTGGGGTGGTCTCTGACTGTGTGAGGGTTGAAATGGACTCTTTGCCCTCCTGAAAAGCAGAGTCAGAAGCATGGCCAGGGGCAGATTTACCCTCTGTGCTCTCATGTTTTGGAGCTGATGGTGCTGATACATCTGAGCACTGGGGAGCTGGAATGGGGCTTTTGCCTTCCAAACATTCAACATCCTCCTCAATCTCGGTGGCTTTTGACTTCTTCAGTAAACGCTTCCTATTCTCACTCCTGTGAGGTGACACTGGAAGTCCCTCTACGTGTTGTATAACAGCAGGGGGACACCCATTCCCCTCACAGTGTGTGGAGGGAGAGGGTTTCTCTCCTGAGCAATCCTTGCTGGCTCTCCTGACGTCCCCTTGCTCTGCTGTGCCCGCAGAACATCCCTTGCTAGGCCCTGCGAAAACGTCGCAGTGATCGCTGCCTTCAGGGCAGCTTTCCTGGGACAACACATCACAGTCCTCCTCCAAGATATCTTGTTCCCTGAGGGATCTGGAGGCTCTCAGCCTGTAGTCATCCAGGGAGCGGCTGCGGCTGGCACCAGCAATGGCAGGGTGTGGGGGCTTCCTGGCAGTGTCAAACGACGCGGATTTGGTCAAGGAACCCGGCAGACTTTCTTTGCGATCATCTCCTTCTTCTTCTTCTTCTTCCAGTTCAAACTGCTCAAGGAGGGGTTCACGGAGGCCACTGAGGGGCACCTTTGAATACCCAGCCTTCCGGAAAGTCCTCCTGGCTCTGTCCAGGTGCCTTCTGAAGTCCCTGCCTGGTGATGAAGGCGGCCTCGCAGGCAGCTCCGTTGCTTGGCTGTAGAAGGTGCTTTTGATGACACTCTGCCTGGGAACACAGGCAGATGGCTTCTCTGCCCCATCCCCTGCCTCTTCACCTCTGTCCTTTTCAGATAAAGGTGTGTCTGGTTTTTCTTTCTGATGCACAGGTGATGTGCTTTCTGTGGAAGCCCTCAGGGATGAAGGCTCAGCAACACCACTTTTTTGGGATGGCTCTCCCCGAAGGCTGGGAAGGAGCCTCTCCTCTTTCTCCTGTAAGATACTTGTCATGAACTCTTTGCTTTCTGTGGGTGATTTTTGCCCCACCTCACCCTTCATTGAAGCATATTTCCTCCTCATGGGTTTTACTGGAGGGATGGAGCTTTTGGAGTGCTCCCGTTCACTCGCACGTTTCAGAGGCTCGGGATAGCTCGGGGCATCAAACACGGGCAAGTGCAGTTCTGGGGTGGAGCCAAAGTGCCTCTTTTGGGGGAAATTCGAGTTCTCGTTGTCTGAAGAGGAGCCACTGGTGCTGGATGAAGTGCTTTCCTCAATGAGGTGTCGGGAGATGGCCAGGGAGCTGTTGTCGTGGGTCCTTTCCAGGATTTCTGGGATGGACCTCATCACCAGGATGGATTTGTAGCACATCAGGGAGCGCTGAGAAGGAAACGTGACACAGCCCAAGGAGATGGGAACATGGTCAGAGAATGGAAAGTAAACACACCAAAATGAACTCCTGCACCCCTAAATACCACACCCATGAGTCTGATTAGACACTGCCACCCTCTGCACATGTCACCAATTCAGGCCTCATGTTCTCTCCAAATTTTCCTCTTCCCTCATTTACTGACATGAAATTAAATTGACTTCAGGGAACACCCTTGCTTTGGTGACTGGGGAGGAAACAGGACTCTGTTTGAGATTTCCAAAGTCAATCTGGCCACTCAAAACAGATGGAAAGGAGTTTTTGATGGATAACTTCAGGTGAGAGACTTGCTGGAGTAAATGGCTTTAAATCCTTTGAGTGCAATAAAACCTGCAGTGACTTAGGCCAGCAGAAGACCTACCAAGTGTAGGAGATGGGATTCCTCTGCTCAAAATTCTGCCATGTAGGGCATCTCAGTTAAAGCTGGGCTTCTTCTTCCAGCCAGCAGAGAGAAACTGGCATGTTCAGAGGGCAATCAATTTAATTATTTGAGAGAACTTCAGGAAAAGAGGCATTTTCTTGGCACCTGTCTGTAATTCAGCTCCGATTGCAAAGGCGACTGAGGGCACCTAACTTAGGCACAACCTTGTGTCTTACAGGCACCTGCATGGGTTTCCAGGCAGTAAAAGCCCAAATAATTAATTCCTGACACATTCATCTCTCCTGGGCTTTTTCCCAACTCCCAGCCATGCTCAGATCTCTGCTGAGCTTGCTGTCCTAGCCCAAAAGATTTTCAAAGATTCAGATATTAAATCATCAGTTATAATAATAAATTATTCAGCAATTAAAAACAGATATAACTAAACAGAATCAACACAGATTAGGGGCAACTCACCTGCCACTTGCTCCGAGCCACAATGAATTTGAGCTGTTTGGTGTTAATGAAATGAGCTGCTTCAAGAGGGACGTTGTGCTGCCAGGTGGAATGAGAGAAAACCATTGGTTAAAAAAAATCCTGATTTCATTTCTTGAGGCATTTCTGTGATTTTTTTTTTTTTAGAATTCTCTCTTTACACAATTGTTTAATTTAGGAAAGTTACAGCAGACCAAATGCTGCAGTCCTTTCATAGTTAAATTGCAGACAAAATCAGCTTTTCAGTGATTAAATCAAGCCCTGTTCTATACCTGTCATTAAATCTTTTTTGCTGTTGTTAATTTTTAACTGTTTTCCTTAGTGATTTAAGGCTTTGGAATATAAACTTTGGTCTGCAAGGCCAGTTTCCTTTCTGTACTGATGTGACAGAACAAGCGGGAATGGCCCCAGGTTGCACCAGGGAGGTTTAAACTGGATATTAGGGAAAACTGACAAATAAAGGACCAGGACAAACTTACCATGAACCATTTGTGGGAAAGACAGTCCAAAGCACTCGGCCTGGATCTGGTAAGAGAACAGATTGAGATTTGAGTAGGAAATCCCCTCCAAGAGCAATCACTGATCTTCCTGAAGGTGCTGCTGCATGCGGACACCCGCGTACACTCAGGGCTGTGTCCTTGGGATGCTGATTTGGAGCAGAGAAGCCACAAAGACACACAGCAGCTTCCAACTCAAGGTTTCCTTCCCCTGAGAGGAAAACATCCTCCTTTTTCAGTCTGGCCCTCCCCACAGATGCTTGGGAAGAGCTCATGGCTCTTTGCAGGGCTCAAGGATGTGCAGAGCAACTTTGAGAGAGCCTTTGCAAACTCTTTAGGTGGCCAGAGTGAAAACAGCTTTGGCAGAAGGCAGAAAGAGTAGGAATGAAATTAAAATCAAACGCCTTTAAATATGCCTTCAAGCCAACTTTTGTACTTGAAGTTGCTTAATGAATGTGGTCAATGTTATTTAATTCCCTCTGTACCAATCCGTGCTCTTCCCACTCATCTGTATCATTCCAGAAATTCCTCAGCCTGGAGGAGGCAGGGAGCAAAGACATCACCAGACCAGAGAGAGGCCAATTTGGCAAATATCTGAGTTGTGGGTTGGGTAATGGGGAATAATGAGGAAGAATTAGGGAAAAATGCAGCACATCTCACTCAGCTTTCTACTTTTCAAACCAAATGATGAGACACCCACAGCTGAGACACCCACAGCTCTGCACAGAGGGAGGCACAGGAGGGCACTCACTTGGGGTGCTGCTGCAGGATCCCTTTCATGAAGTCCCTTGCATCTTCACTCAAGTGAACAACATCAGGAATGGTCCATGAAATTTCCCCGTTCTGGATATTTAGGAGAGTTTTCCTGTCGTTCTCCCCAGCAAATGGAGACTTGCACGTGAGGCTTATTAATTGAACACCAGAAAATGAAAGGAGACAGGTTTTAGGTTTCTGTTTTCTCTACAAATGATAGAAGCACAAATGTTTACATGGGGTTTATAAATCCTTGAGGGGCTCCGTGCCTGGGACTTGCAATGTTTGTGAGGAACAACCAGGAAATGAGGAAACCACAAAATAAATTGTCCTTCTTATGGAAGGACTGAATGCTCCACTCAAATCCCTCCCTTGAAAGTGCTGGAGGGCTCTGATGGACAAAGGGTTATTGGGGGAGTGTTTCCAAGATTTATTTACCTTAAATATGTGATGACTCCAACAGCCCTGAGGAGAGAGGGAACACAAATGTCATTTTTGTCACTATTTTTCCATCCTTCTCAAGTCCCTCTTCCTGCCACTAGACACCCTGGAACAGCAAGATCACCTTCTCCTCACCTTTCAAGAATAATAAATCCCAAAAGCTATTGGTTTTTTCCATTCATTTTCCCCCTTCAATGTTTTTTTAATTGTTCTCAAGCAATCCTTCACTTTTAAAGCACAGATAGAGGAAAATACTCAAAATACTTTTTTTTTCCTTTTTTTTTTACTTTTTTTGCCTTTTCTAGAAAGCCCTTTAGGATCATTCCATCTAGTTACTGCCTGGAATAGAGATCATCTCCTCCAAGATGCTCCTTTGCATTAATTAGCAGTCAGAGTTCAATTATGGCTGAAAAAAATTAGACAGAAGGAGCTTTAAAGAGCCTTGATGGCTTTTGGATTGTCAACGTTCGCTTTCGGTTTCCTGTGTTATTATCACTGCTCCATTTACTAATTAACAGCTAATGGAAATTCAGGCCATTGAGGGCCTGGAAAAGCTTTTTGGGAAAATGAGAGATTACCAGATATCAGTTGCTTTTGACACTGGTGACTGGGAGACAATTTCTGGGGCAACAAACTCTGGAGAGCCGTATTTGCTGTACTGAGGCTGCACGGGCGTGATCCTCTGGGCAAACCCAAAGTCACAGATCTTCAGGTCTTCCCTCTCAGGATAAACCATGAGGATATTCAGTGGCTGTTGGATGAAAATGAAAATAAAAGGAGGAATTTTTCTTGAGAGCAGGGAGTATTTTTCAGTTGTAAGAATAATTCAGAGAACACCCAACCACAGGCCAACACGTCATTGCTCATTACCTTGATGTCCAAATGAAGGATGTTGTTGTCGTGAAGATATTTGATTCCTTCCAAAATTTGCTTGATGTACAGTTTGACCTGAGAATTGAGTCCATTATTAAACAATTAATAAATAAACAATTATTAAGCAGGGAGAGTAAATAGGAGAGTTCCTGGTTTCACCAACATTTGATCATTAAAGGTCCCTCCCAGTCCAAACCATTACATGATTTTTTCCACTGACAATTCCTAATAAAAATAATTGATTTTACCAATAAGTATTGGACATCTAGCTACTAGATGGGAGATGTGAAACATTTTGAACTTTTAGCACCAAAGATGTAAAAAAAAATCCCTTAGAAACCATAATTTCAGCTTTTCTTTTAAGGACAGAAAGGGAGTAGATAGAATACAGTTACAGGGGGATAAAGTGGTATTAAGTAAGTGGAGATAGGAGCTCCAGATGACAGATAACAAAGAAATTATGACAAGAGAGCAAATACAATCTTTTTTTTTTAGGCTGAATGCAATCCTGGTGGTCAACCCCCCTGGCTGTTTGTAGTTATTCCCCAAATAAACCCAACTAGCAATGAAAGTTGCCAGGAACACATTGTAAAGGCTGATTCTGCTTTGATGGATTATCACTGGTTCAAAGACATTTGTCCTATTCCAGAAGGAAAATGCAGAAAGAACCAACTCTGTGCTTTCAAATGAGAAATCACCTCAGCTTCAGTGACCACACTCTTCTTGAATAAACGGTCCAGGAGCTCTTCATTGGAGCATCTGGCAGTGGTGTTAAGGAACAACAGAACCACATGGAAAAGCTTTTTTTGACTCAGGAACCTCCTCCATCCAGCAGAACTCACGAGGGGATCTCAGGCTATGGGATCCTCACGAAACTCTGCTGCAGCAGAGACTGGGCTGGTCTAAACCTGGTGTCACTTCTGCTAGAATCTGCCTGTTGATTTTGGGGTTCCTGTTCTGCATTTCCCTCATGCTCACCTAGACTGGATCTCACAGAAACAGAGCTCATAACTTCCAGATGTGTCAGGAAATAATTTTGGTGCTAAATGATTCATTCACACTTGTATATACAAGTCTGATTTTTCTCACCCAGCAGAAATGAGGATTGCAGTGGAGCCTTACACAGAGCTGTGCTGTCCTGCAGTGCAGAGAAGAATTGTGTGTGCCCTTTTCTCTCAGGAAAAAAAACAAAAACAAAAAATTAATTACTTAGATATTTAATAAATGAGCTCTACCCAGTACTTCCCAGCCTCTTCAGACAACTGCACAGAAAAGGATACAACTCCAGAATCAAAATCAGCGTTTTTCGTGTTTCAAACTCATCCAGGAGCCTGGTAATTCTGTCGTGGGACAGAGAGGCAAGAATATCCCTCTCTTGATGGGCTCGAGACTTGGTTTTGCTCCGCAGAGGGATGAATTTGGCAGCACAGGACACCCTGGTCCCTTTGTGCACCACCCGTTTCACGAAGCTGAAGCAGCCCCTGTGCAGGAATCGAAGGACAAGCCCTGATCAAGCCTGGGCAGAGATTTCCCCCACCCTGGGCTTTGACAGCTCCCTGCTGCTCCGTGCTTCAGTTCTCCAGCAGCAGAAGCTCATTTTGCTGTGTGTGAGATGCTGTTGCCCTCTCCTGGCTGTCTCCAAAGGGACGCAGTGTGTTCCCATCAAGGGAAAAGCTGTTGCAGTTGATGCAGGCTGGTGCTGGTGCTCCTGCATCCCTTGGACAGACCTGATGGGCTTGGGATGCTCCCATTGCCAAGAAACCACATCCAGGCACTAATCTGTGAGCCTTTGGATGTTTTCTCTGGTTGGAGCTGCCACAGCACACCTTGGAGTGACATCCCACTTCTGCCTTTATTTCCAACTTCCCAGGACCCACCTCTGCCTCAGCAGCTCAGATGGGCAATGAGATAGTCCCTGGCAGTGATGCTGTAGAGTTGGAAAATTCATTTACCTTCCAATCTCCTGCTTAACCTCATAATGGGCATGGAGCTTTCTCCTGGTGGCCACTTTCTTTCCTTCTTGGTCTTTCTTGGCTTTGGAAATGAAGGAAAACAAAAGGGTAAATATTCAGACAACAATGCCTTGCTAATAGTGTGCAAAGTTATTACAATTACAGCAATTACAACAATTACAACAAAGTTAGGACAATTTAAGGCAGGAAAAATTAGAGGGGTCTTCTAAACTTGTAAGGAGAATTAAGTGGAATTGTTTGGTAAGAAGAATGTGTCAAAATGAGCTTTGGGGTTGCCCAGAGAAGTGGCTGCCCCATCCCTGGAAGTGGGCCAGGTTGGATGGAGTTTGGAGGAACCTGGGATAGTAAAATGTGTCCCTGCCCATGGCAGGGGGTTGAAATTAGAGCGTCTTTAATGTTCTTTCCAACCCAAAGCATTTTGGGATTTTGTGATTTGATTTTATCCTGGATCCTGCCATACTGGCTGTATATAAATGCTCCAAAGGAACATGGAACAGATTCCATACAGGCACCAGAAGATGACAGCAACAAATTACACACTGCCATGGCAGTGGAGACAACTCCTGCAGCTGAGTGGGTGGCATTGCCCTCACAGGTGACAGGGTGGCATTACCTTCACGTACGACGAGCTCTGCTTTGCACAAAACCTCCCCTCCTGCATTTTTGGCAACACAGGTATAAACACCACCATCTTCCAGGGCAGCATTGTCCACAACTAAGAAATACGTTGTTCCTTCCTTGCCCTGATGGACCCTGTCACTGTCTGTCAGCAGTGAAGTGCCCTGGGGGAAAGAAATGACATTTTGGCACTGGAAAAGCCAAGATGGAAAGAGGTGTTCCTGCTCTTCTGATGCCTCAGGTTTCATATTTTTCAGGTTCTGTGCTGCTTTAGTGTGTGGGGCTGGGCTTCTCTAGGTCAACCTTCTCAAGGCATCACTTCAAGAAGCAAGATATGGGAGCAGAGCTACAAGACAGACTATTTATGTGAGCAAACCTCATGGAGAAAATGCTGCCCAGGGGAGTGGTGGAGTCACCATCCCTGGAAGTGTTCAAGGAACAGCTGCATGTGGGTCTGGTTGACAAGGTGGTGTTCTGTCAGAGGTTGGACTCGGTGATCTTGGAGGCCTTTCCAAACTTAATGGTTCTGTGATTCTGTTTTTTTTTTCATAAATGCTATAAAGAAAGGGGCAGGATGGAGTGTGTGTGATAAAGAGCAGATTGTGAGCATTTGCAAAAGGTCCCTATGACAGTAAAATGCAAGACAAAAATATATAATACAATATATACAAATATGTATATAATAGCACAAATATGAAGTGATGCAATCCTGTTTTCCCACATAAAATCTCTGTTTCTGAGCTTTTCCTTATTAAACTGTAACAAAAATTCAAGTAAGAGTAAATCAGTCCACAGCACCACCAGCTCAGTGCTTGGTGGGAGCTAAAAGGTACCAGATACTAGAAATTATTAGGGAAGAAATGAAGAATAAGACACAAAGAATAATTTGATAAATGCTTTTGGGTTTGCCCATGGTATGGTACTATTTGTTACATCATCATCAGTGTCCTCTGTAAGAGCTTCCAGATAAGAATTGACAGCAGACTGGGGCTCTTCAGCCTGGAAGGGAGGCTCTAGACAATATTCTAAGGAATAATAAATAATTTCTCTCCCTTCTGTGGAATATTCATTGTCCTTAGTCACACTGATTTTACTAAGTAGTTGCAGGAAAGATACAGAGCCTGGAAGTCACACTGGCAGCTGGGACAAACCACTCAATCCCATTCCTGCCCCCAGACTGCAGCACACATCTCAGTGGCACTCAGGTAGAAACAATTTCTCTTCCTGCTCTCTTTGGTCCCCAAAACCATCTTGGTTTCCCTCTCTGCAGGGTGACATGGTGACAACACAGGGTGGGATGCACAGGTGGTGGTTCAGTGGGAACAGCTGGCTCCATAAAGTCTACAGACAGAGGGTAGTGTGAGAGGTGTGGGAGGAATGAGCAGACGAAATTCCCTGTGGAATTGTGCACTACAGTCCTCACTCTCAGCCAGGGAAGAGTCTGCACTCACCTTGAACCACAGAACTGTGGGCTGAGGGGTTCCTTCAATGACTGCCTGGAATTTGGCACGTTCCCCAGAGTTCACCTGCACGTCCTCTATTGTCACTTGCATGTAGGGAGGACCTGGTGAGAAGAGAGCGTTTGCAGCATGCAAATGAAACTGAAACTTCTTTCCCAGCGTGCTGACAGGGTTGGGGTTACCCAAATGGGATATATAGGACAGGACATTTAGGATGTAACAGTAGTTTAAAGTAAAATCAAGAGGTGCAACAGCAATATATTTGGGGTTCTTCATGCTGACATTACTTTTAGGTTTCTTATCTTCACACTTACCTATTACTTTTTGTTTAATAAAGAGTTACCACTCAAAAATTAAAAAAAAAATAAATTTAAAAAAAATTAATTACAAATAATTAAATTAAAAAAAAAAAAAAGAGGAGTTGTTACCAAAAGAGAAGATAGTGAGAATCATGGGACTGGGAAAGGGAAATAGAGTTTGGTCTTACTTGTTGGAGTCTTCTCCTCAGTCTTGTACACACGAGTTCTTTCTGTGGTCTCGATGTAAACTTCACTGTGCATATCCCAGACCACGTCTCCTTCTCTCCTGTACCAGCCTCCTGCCCCTGCATCTGGGGATGTTCTTTCAAGAAACCCAAGAGAAAAGATCATGGCATAGCCACATACAAGACCCTGCCATTGATCTGTTTAACCAGCAGACAAAGAGTTATTTGCTTGAAATTAACACAGGAAGAATTGTGGTTTGGGGGGAGGGATTAATTTCTCTCCAACTATTTTTTGCCCTTCTTTGACAAAGCATTGTCACCAGGATTCTGAAAATAATGACAAACCTACAAGAAACTGTTTGGGTTACCACAGAGGACTTGCTTTTCTTGCACCAAAGTCAGAAATACACAGGGATATCCTGGATATAAGGAGGTGGGTATTTACCTGTCGATGGGAACAGTGCGTTCCTGAGCGCTTTCCCCTCCAGCAGCCTCCTCTTCCCGGGAAGGAGCAGGGCTGGGCTTTGGCACCCCTGCTTCTTCAGCTGGAACCTCCCTCTGAACTTTGGCTGGCAGCAGAAATTGGGCAAGTTAGACATGACACCCGTGAGACCACAGCCAAAACCCAGAGCCAACCTCTGGAGCCATCTCTGGTGTGCCTCGTGCCAGACCTGAGCCCACCTGACCTCAGCTGGGTGCAGCCACTGAAGGTTAGAGGAGAATTTGGCACTTCTGCAAAGAGCACACAAAGCAAAGGGGTTGGACAGCACCAGAGTGGTGGCACTTGGCTGACTGGGCTAAACTGACTGTTCTGTAAGGAGATACACACAGACAAAGGTGGGAAAGGCAGCTGGTAGGGACAGGGAAATACAGGTCAGCTGGAAGGATAGTGTGGGTTCACACAGCCTTTGCAGGAGATAATTTAACCGTGTTTGAGTTCTGGCTCATGGCTGTGAGGAAGTAATGGAATCACAGAATCATCCAGGTTGAAAAAGACCTTTAAAAGCAAGGCCGGCCATCAACCCAACACTGCCAAGTCCACCCCTGAAATGCATTCCAGGGAATAACCCAGTGTTAGCTCTGTCCATGTGAATTCTTCAATTCAGTTTTGAGTTAGAACAGTTCCTGACTCACTGCTGTGGTCACAGACAGCACCAGGGACATGAGTGAGCTCACATCCATGTGAGCTGGTGGTCAGAGCAGGTCCTGGCTGAGGATATTCATAGAATTCCCAGAACGACCAGGTTGGAGGAGACCTTCAAGGTCATCAAGTCCAACCCAGCCCCAACAGCTCAACTGAACCCTGGCCCCCAGTGCCACATCCAGGCTTTGTTAAACACACCCAGGGATGGTGACTGCACCACCTCCCTGGGCAGCCATTCTAGAATTTTATCACTCTTTCTGGGAGAAACTTTTTCCTGATATCCAACCTAAACTTCCCTTGGTGCAGCTGGAGGCTGTGTGCTCTGGTTCTGTCAGGAGAAAGAGACCAATATCAGTATAATTGATATGGAGGTAATATGGATTCTTACAGAGGACCTGGTGATGTTTTAGCATCAGCATTGCTGCACCTCCACTGGAAAACATCCTTGTACAGCTCTGAGTTACACCAGAACAAGGTCTGGCACGTGGGGCTTGATGAAACCAAAAGATGGTGCAGCTTGATGGTCGTTTCAGTTATTTTTCTTCTTTTATTATTAATTATTTTATCAGATATAGATTCAAAACCTGGTTTGAGCTCACATACCAAAAGTACCTGATTGTCTTTTGGTATTGACCATTGGAATTACACCATAGGACAAAGTGCATCATCTCCTTTTTCATTTAAGGAGAAAAGGTTAAATCCAGAGGAGTCTTCTACCTAGCAGGTAGGAATATTTTAGGGAGCTCTCTAGGGATCTTTGGTGCTGGCTGGTTTTGGAAAAGAGCAGCTGTTTCTAGAAATCACATAAAACAGCTCCATTGGGGTGGAAAACATGGTTATTCAAGGAGTTACTGGATCAGAGATCCCAGGTTGTGGGATTGTGCTTTCCTATCACCTGCACTATTGAAATATTTGCCTCCTTTTTATTTAAGGCATGTATCATAGAGAGAGGTGTCAAGTCTCCATCTGATTAAAATAACTCCCATAACATGTTTAGTATTGCACAGCTGAAAGACCTGCCAAGCCATATCATTATTGTATTTTCTCTTTAGCTGTGACTGAGGAAACAATCTGCTAGGTGACATTTTACTTAGGATTTTTGAGTCATCCCATTCCACCAGAGGATTATTTCCAAAGATGATTTGTGACGAGAAAGGAAAAAAGGTTTTAAAACCCTGACATTTTTTATATGCTGTTATTTTGGGTCTGATACTATGAACAGCTTTTATTCTTGCTAGGTTTTGAGTAAGAATATTTATTTTTTAAGGGATTATCTAGAGTTTGAGGGCTGAAGGTTACTTGGCATTGTCCTTTGAGTTAACAGTGGTTGAGAACAGTTATTCTGACTTGACACGGAGACAGCTTAGACAAGTTGTTATGGCAGAAGCAGAGGAAGAGTGGAAGGGTTGTCGCTCATCCACGATTTTTTAAAAACAACAGAAGACAAAGGAATTGTTCTCCTGGCAAGACACAGCCACATACACAGGTGGGTTTAGACACACAAAAGCTGCAAGGAGTGTGCCCAGGCTCCAGGGTCAGTGAAATGCAGGTGAACCTGAGGCACTCAACCCCCTAGAGAGCCCCTGACAGTTGGTCCAGGATATTAAAGACATTTCCAGCTTGTTTACAGAAAACAATAAAATAAAGCAACCACCTTTACTCACCCCACCAAATCAAAACCCAAATCATTCTCTGAATGTGAAGGAGGGATCTCACTCCACCTTCTTCCCCAAAAATACTTGAAGCAAGACCAGGGGAAAAGCCCAAAGGTGGAAAAAAGTCCCCTATTCCTAATTTTGGGCAGGTGATGAACCAAACTCTAGGTTTTCAAACACTTCCTGCTTCCAGACAGATCTGCCCCAAACTTAGACCCAACCTAACCCCAACCCACCCTCCATGGTCTGAATGCCCTCTCTTAATCATCATCTGCTCAAAACACGACGACACAGAAAAACGAGGTCAAAACCATCATTACTGGCATGCTCAATATTTTTCTGTCTCTCAGCTCCCGGGGGACATCTCCCACCTCTATGCCAAACCTACCATGGCCTGCAGCAGTCTGGGTTTGGGTGCTGGCTTCATGAACTGCCACAGAGGGCCCGGCTGCTGCCCCTGAGGGCAATGAAGGAGCAGAGCCGGGAGGGCCAAGGCCAAGGCCAGCACCTCCTCGCATGCCCGGGGGAAGAGTCACCAGCAGCGACGCCGAGTCCAGCAGCTTTTTCAGGGCTGTCTTGATCTCCTGATCAGCACGCTGCAGCGAGGCCTGCACAGTAGTCTCCGTCTCTGACTGGGGGGAAGTCATTCCTACAGACAAGAACAACAACTTTTCTCTCTTCGGGGCCAAAAAGAAAGCAGCAGCACCATCCAACCCATGGAAATATCTGCCACCGTGTCATTTTCCCCTCCTAGAGAGGAGAGTTGATGGAGAAATGCTTATTCCAGCAAGAGGGAGCGTAGCTGAGAGTTAAAACAAGAAGGCTGGCATAAAATGCTTTGGAAAGTTGTATCTCAGCTGGCTGGGGACACTGTGCCACCTAGGTGAACACCTGTGTCACAGTCATATTTTCTGGAAAAATCCCTTTGCCCAGCATTCTTCTCCTGGGAAGCTGAGAAGCCTCAGAGAAAAAGGAAAACAATTCTTATCTCATTTGCTTCTCCTGTGTTTTGCTGATTTAGAATGTGTTTGGAGATTGTTTCACTGATTTCATGTGAATTGTTTTGACTCAATGGCCAATCAAGGTCAAGCTCTGTCAAGGCTCTGGAGTCACGAGTTTTCATTATTATCTTTTTAGCCTTCTGTCTGTATCCTTTCTGTATATCCTTTCTGTATTCTCTAGTATAGTATTCTTTAATATAATATAGTATCTTAAAATAATAAATTAGCCTTCAGGAACATGGAGTCAGATTCATCATTCCTTCTTTCTTCTAGAAACCCTGCAAATACAATACACCTGGCCTGTTCCCAGACAGTGGAACAAAGGATCCATCTCCCAGTTCAACCCAACATTGGTTGGTCTGTCAAAAATACCTTTATTAATCAGAGAATCACAGAATATCCTCAAGGGGAAGGGATCCACAAGGATCATCCAGTCCAGCTCCCAGCCCTGCACAGTCACCCCAACAATCCCATCTTGTTCCTGGGAAGTGTTACCCAAACTCTCCTGGAGCTCTGGCAGCTTTGGGGCTGTGCCCATTCCCTGGGGAGCCTGGGCAGTGCCAGCACCCTCTGGGAGAAGAACCAACCCCTGGATAAGAGCAGTGAAATGAACCCATTGCACTGATACAGAGCCTACATGAAGGAAGATGTTATCTCATGGGGAAGGAGAAGGAGTGAACAGGAATCAGCTGTCAGTGACTCCGGAGAAAGGCAAGGGAATGAAGGGAGGGACGTTCTTTTTCATCAAAGTCTGGCAGAAAAGCCACTCCTTGCTCACAGGGTGATGTTTTTGTTCTGCTTCACAATACCTGAATATTTCTAATGGGTTGGGATGTAGAAGGCTGGGATGGGATCACAGACTGCAGGAGCTCATCTCACCCAATTTCCTGCCTGATAAACCTCCCACAAATCTTGAAAAGGCACAACAAAGGGATGGATGTACCTAGGAAAGCCCCCACGTAATCATGAAGACAGAGAAAATGCAGGTCAGGTTAAGACAATGGTCAATTTCATGACCATTGGTGATGTGATTGCTCACCAATCAAGAGAGAGAACTCAAATAATCACATGGTTTGAGAAAAAAAAAAAAAATAAGAGCATTTGGAATAAACAGCTCTGACTTGTTTAATGTCAATGACATTAATGAGCATGCCCTGTAGGGGTTTTGATTCGGCTCCTTTCCTGGCCTCAAGAAAGTCAATTCCCATTATAGACCTGAGAAAATAAGGGTGAAGGCTATGTGTGGATGAAGACCTCTCACTTGACTTTTGTTTTCAATGATCATGATGGTGACAAAATATTTATTTCCTGAATCTGTTGATGGAAAAAAAGCAAGATTTGCTCACATGATGTCGCAGACTGCCTATCAATGTTCATCAGCACTGGGCTGGCTGGAAGACATCCAATATTTTCCTAGAGAAATACCTGGATTCTCTGGTGTTCTTGCTGTGATTTCTGCCAGCTGGTGCTGTCCTGTGAACTGGGCAGATGCCAATGAGTGAAATAATTGGAAAGGCATGAAACACTCAATTAGGAAATATACTCACAGGTGGATAGATATAGATCTAGAGGTTATGTATAATCACTGCTCTCTCCCAGCTCCAACACCACCACTTTCCTCCCTGCCTAGGAGACATTTCACCACTTCCTTCTTTTGGACACTGATTCAGACTGAGGAACTTTAAGATCCCCCAATACACAGACCTAACAAACAACCACAGTGATGACACCCTGTGATGGACAACCCCTTTCCCAGCTGGACTGGGGAACTTTAAGATCCCCCAAGATACGTAGACCTAACAAACAACCACAGTGATGACACCCCTTTCCCAGCTCTAAAATCTCAGCCTTGAGCCTTTTGACCCCACAACTTCAGCCCATCCCCAGGAACTCAAGACTGACACATCTTTTGAAGCTCCAGGTTGGTCTCAGAGAAGGACCCAAGACGATGTGAATCATTCAAGATTCCTGAGCTGGAAATATCCCTAAAACTTCACTTCAACACTCCTGAAACTGTCCATAAAAAGGAGCTAGAGCCCAACTGCATTAATATTCTTGGACTGCAATCCAGTTCCTGCTGAAGTCAGCGGGAGAAGAGGATGAGCTGATGGAATATCAAATGCTGTAACAAAGAACACAGAAACCCAGAAAGTCCAGTGACAGCTGATGCAAGACATTTATTGATTTAAACGCAGCATCTAACAGCATATCTTGCACTTGACTTTTTTTTTTGTGTGTCTGTTTTTTTTTCTTTTTTTTGTATCTCAAGCAAACTGAAGTTTCCACTTTATTAATACCCATTTATCTCGAGGAATTTCAGTAAAACATTCACTGTATTAAAATCTTTCATACAGCTGTACCTTTTCATCTACAGGAAATAAATCCCCACACATCTCATTAGTTATCTACACAGTTTAATCACTTACAAGCATAATTTTTAACCTCTAGGAAAATATTTTGAAAGTATATGTAATGAACGTCTCATAAACCTTTCACCTTTTGAACAGAGCCCTGCATAGGATTTTAAAAATTCCCTGCAATTGATTCTCTTTTGCTTAAATATCAAAAGAAAATGTAAACAGATGTTAATTGCTTTGAGCTAATGAATCAAAGTATAATTATTTCTTCTATGACCATCTGAAGTGCAACCTTAGAGATTCTTTAGAAAAACCTGATTGTTGACCACACCAGGAGGAAACCTCCACATTCCTTTACACATCCTCATCATCTTTTGTTTGAATATTACATATTTGGAAGACAATCACAGGGCAAAATCTTTTCTTAGCAGTATCTTCATAAATCTGAATAAAATCCACTTCCTTCTGTGGAATTATTCAAGATTGATACTGGAATAACTGTGATCAGAATCAGGCTCAAAATAAAAGAAATATTTTTAGCTTTGAAAGCATTTCCCTGTTGTGTGCCTGTTACTTTCCAACGTACAGTGCAATATATGAAAAAAGCACTAATATATATATCCATCGTATTGCTTCATTATAAAACAAACAGTATAAACCAAGGAGATGTTATAAAAAATGGGATAGTACCATAAGGGAAGCTTGATTTCCTTCACCACTGGAAAAGCATCCTATATCATGAAGGTAGTGCACACGACATCCAGAGTGGATGTTGAAAGTGAAAGGCTGTGAAATCAATATGTTCATTTTAGTCAGCACAAGGTGCAGCTGCAGAAGGAAAAAAAAAAGTTTTCTACAAGCACCTTTTGTGAATTCATTCCCTGTTGGCAGGAATATTGCCTCCAGAACAAGCTCCTCAGTATCAGCTGGCTGGGAAACACTGAGCCAACATCATCCATTCCTTCCCAAGGCAGAAACTCTCTCCTCATGCTGCTTAGAAATTCAGCTGTGCCTGAGCATTTCTGGCTTCCCTAAACCACAACTGAAACCACAAATGAACATTTCTACAGAGCTCAGCTGGGACATGGTGTGGGGACTTTTCACCCCACATCTCTGTCAGCAGAGAGGGCCAGTGCAGGGTCCTGCTGAGACCAATGAGCTCCATCTGGCCCCAAGATTTGGGCCTGGGAGCTCATCTCTTTTCAGAGCAGCTTGTTGGAGGTCTGGGCTACATCCATTTTTGGTGAAGCCAACAGGGATGGGCTGTGCTCAGTGCACCTCAGCCTCCCCCTCATGCAGCATTCCTGCTGGAAAGCTCCAGAGGAACCCCACAGTCAGTCCCTCTCCGAGGCATCTCAGCCTTCCTGGGTACAGTAATGTGATGCAATTGCAACTGGCAGCCCAATACATTTGGAACAGATCTATGTTTCAACTGAATATTTATGGTAAAACTCTTTTTTCTATCTCTTTTTTTTTTTTTTTTTTTAATCTTTGTGCTCCTGCTACTTTGCTATAGCTCAGTGGTAAATTCCTCTTATCACACACATACAGGGAATATCATGGATCAATCTGTTAGCAGGAATGTTTCACCACTGGCACATTCAGGAGAACAAATACTAATCCAGTCATATTTATTGGCAAAGACTACATTTGTGGTCCTTTGAAGACCACATTTGTAGTTCTTTGTACCTGTTAATGTTTGATTGCAGCTGCAGAAATTATTTTGTGCAGCACATTAATCTTTCAGTGCATGTTAACTGCTTCATATTTCAAAAGATATGGTTTATAAATCCACCCCACTAGAATGCAGAATAATGAAACCTACATTATCAGACAACTAGGAAGTGGATTTGAAAATATCAGTCATTTAGAAAAGATAGTCATTTTCACTTAAAGCAGAAGAGAACAACAAAACTCTTGCTTCCTCATGACAGTGGGACTCTTCACTGACTAGAGTCAAATGGGGATTTCAACCAAAAAAATGCCTGAGCAGCCCTTTGAATCCCTGGTATATGTAATATCTACTATATATCTCATTATATGGCAGAAGGTTAAAAAATGCAACCAGATTGTGCATCTTGAAAGGTTTATGAAGAAATTTTGGTAGAGCTAATTGGTGTCACAAGTGTAGAGCAGAGTCAAAGCACAGTGAAGCTTCATGACCTTTGGGCCCACACGGTGACAGGAGACACTCCCTGTCCTGGGCTGCTGAAGAATGCTGAAAAGCTTTGATACTTTCACCTCCTTGCCACACCAAAAACTGGCACATGAAAAAAATCATTAAGTTAATG